AAGGATAGAGAGAGAAACAGAGGGATTTGTGTCAGTCGAATGCATCACAATATTATCAGTTGACTCAATCAGTTTCTTGATGAAACAAAGGACAATCATCTCAGTAACATTAAACATTTTGCCATGGGGCGGAGAGAAAATGTTGCGGTTTTAAAACAAGTTTGCTGCAATTCTACCCATGGCAAAGTGAAGTGAAGATTTGGCAATTTTATAACTAATTTCATGTAATTCTACACATTTTTCCATAGGATGGAGAGAAATGTTTGCAGTGTTTAATATGATATCTGTGTGAGAGTGACTAACAAAATCAATGGGGGACCCCTGGTCGGTAATTCGACCATGATTACTACAAGTTTAGATAGCTGGCTAGACTAACTTACCAATCTAAATGTTAGATGACACGGCTAATTGAGTGAGTGACTGTCAGTGACTGACATAACAAGAGAAAAACTGCTGATGCACAAAGCACATTTAGAAATTGCACCTTTGGTGTGTTCTACTATTCCACCTGGCAACAGTAAGTTGAGACACTGGCTGAGTTCCCAAAAATACAAATAAATACTAAATTGTTTTTAGTTTTTGGAAATGGATCCACGGGCCTCCATCCCTGGCTCTTATTGGTTGTCTAATATTATTCTGCTGTATCAAGGGCTTGCATGGTAGGGCCGTCCCAAATGGCACCCTATACCCTATATAGTGCACTACTTTAGATAGGGCCCTGGCACCCTATTCCCTATATAGCGCACTACTTTAGATAGGGCCCTGGCACCCTATTCCCTAAATAGTGCACTACTTTAGATAGGGCCCTGGCACCCTATTCCCTATATAGTGCACTACTTTAGATAGGGCCCTGGCACCCTATTCCCTATATAGTGCACTACTTTAGATAGGGCCCTGGCACCCTATTCCCTAAATAGTGCACTACTTTAGATAGGGCCCTGGCACCCTATTCCCTATATAGTGCACTACTTTAGATAGGGCCCTGGCACCCTATTCCCTATATAGTGCACTACTTTAGATAGGGCCCTGGCACCCTATTCCCTATATAGTGCACTACTTTAGATAGGGCCCTGGCACCCTATTCCCTATATAGCGCACTACTTTAGATAGGGCCCTGGCACCCTATTCCCTATATAGTGCACTACTTTAGATAGGGCCCTGGCACCCTATTCCCTAAATAGTGCACTACTTTAGATAGGGCCCTGGCACCCTATTCCCTATATAGTGCACTACTTTAGATAGGGCCCTGGCACCCTATTCCCTATATAGTGCACTACTTTAGATAGGGCCCTGGCACCCTATTCCCTATATAGTGCACTACTTTAGATAGGGCCCTGGCACCCTATTCCCTATATAGCGCACTACTTTAGATAGGGCCCTGGCACCCTATTCCCTATATAGTGCACTACTTTAGATAGGGCCCTGGCACCCTATTCCCTATATAGTGCACTACTTTAGATAGGGCCCTGGCACCCTATTCCCTATATAGTGCACTACTTTAGATAGGGCCCTGGCACCCTATTCCCTAAATAGTGCACTACTTTAGATAGGGCCCTGGCACCCTATTCCCTATATAGTGCACTACTTTAGATAGGGCCCTGGCACCCTATTCCCTATATAGTGCACTACTTTAGATAGGGCCCTGGCACCCTATTCCCTATATAGTGCACTACTTTAGATAGGGCCCTGGCACCCTATTCCCTATATAGTGCACTACTTTAGATAGGGCCCTGGCACCCTATTCCCTATATAGCGCACTACTTTAGATAGGGCCCTGGCACCCTATTCACTATGTAGTGCACTACTTTAGATAGGGCCCTGGCACCCTATTCCCTATATAGTGCACTACTTTAGATAGGGCCCTGGCACCCTATTCCCTATGTAGTGCACTACTTTAGACCAGGGCCCTGGCCAGAACTAGTGCACTATATAAGGTGAATATCCCAGCCTGCATCAGGTGACACAGGGTGGCAGTAACTGTGTATGAACAGAAACACCACCTATTGCTCACTGAGAAACAATGAAAAGCACTTCTAATGGAAGACAGAGAAAAACACTTATCCACCGAGTAGAGCATGTCATCTGGGTCCGCAGCAGATTGTGTCGTCCTGGTGCGTCTGCGCACGGTCACATGCCAACACCAAGCTGTGGTTTATCTGCGTGGGCGATGGAACTATGTACAGGAAACACTTTGTTGACCTTAATCTTGGAACCTTTAAGGAAAATATTGTGCGCTAGCTAGTTAGTTAGCTAGTAGTTAGTAGATAGTTAGTTAGTCCATACATTACATGAGCTATGCACCGGCAATACATAGTTGACCTGAGCTTCACAAAACTACTACATTCTGTATTGTTATTAGAGAGATGGGACTACATTCTGTATTGTTGTTAGAGAGATGGGACTACATTCTGTATTGTTATTAGAGAGATGGGACTACATTCTGTATTGTTATTAGAGAGATGGGACTACATTCTGTATTGTTGTTAGAGAGATGGGACTACATTCTGTATTGTTATTAGAGAGATGGGACTACATTCTGTATTGTTGTTAGAGAGATGGGACTACATTCTGTATTGTTATTAGAGAGATGGGACTACATTCTGTATTGTTGTTAGAGAGATGGGACTACATTCTGTATTGTTGTTAGAGAGATGGGACTACATTCTGTATTGTTATCTGAGAGAGATGGGAGCTAACATTCTGTATTGTTGTTAGAGAGATGGGACTACATTCTGTATTGTTTGAGAGATGGGACTACATTCTGTATTGTTATTAGAGAGATGGGGACTACATTCTGTATTGTTTTAGAGAGATGGGACTACATTCTATTGTTATTAGAGAGATGGGACTACATTCTGTATTGTTGTTAGAGAGATGGGACTACATTCTGTATTGTATTGAGAGAGATGGGACCTTCTGTATTGTTGTTAGAGAGATGGGACTACATTCTGTATTGTTGTTAGAGAGATGGGACTACATTCTGTATTGTTGTTAGAGAGATGGGACTACATTCTGTATTGTTATTAGAGAGATGGGACTACATTCTGTATTGTTTTAGAGAGATGGGACTACATTCTGTATTGTTATTAGAGAGATGGGACTACATTCTGTATTGTTTTAGAGAGATGGGACTACATTCTGTATGTTATTAGAGAGATGGGACTACATTCTGTATTGTTATTAGAGAGATGGGACTACATTCTGTATTGTTTAGAGAGATGGGACTACATTCTGTATTGTTGTTAGAGAGATGGGACTACATTCTGTATTGTTATTAGAGAGATGGGACTACATTCTGTATTGTTATCTGAGAGATGGGACTACATTCTGTATTGTTATTATGAGAGATGGGACTACATTCTGTATTGTTATTAGAGAGATGGGACTACATTCTGTATTGTTATTAGAGAGATGGGACTACATTCTGTATTGTTATAGAGAGATGGGACTACATTCTGTATTGTTATTAGAGAGATGGGACTACATTCGGTATTGTTATTAGAGAGATGGGACTACATTCTGTATTGTTATTAGAGAGATGGGACTACATTCTGTATTGTTGTTAGAGAGATGGGACTACATTCTGTATTGTTGTTAGAGAGATGGGACTACATTCTGTATTGTTATTAGAGAGATGGGACTACATTCTGTATTGTTATTAGAGAGATGGGACTACATTCTGTATTGTTATTAGAGAGATGGGACTACATTCTGTATTGTTATTAGAGAGATGGGACTACATTCTGTATTGTTATTAGAGAGATGGGACTACATTCTGTATTGTTGTTAGAGAGATGGGACTACATTCTGTATTGTTATTAGAGAGATGGGACTACATTCTGTATTGTTTTAGAGAGATGGGACTACATTCTGTATTGTTATTAGAGAGATGGGACTACATTCTGTATTGTTGTTAGAGAGATGGGACTACATTCTGTATTGTTATTAGAGAGATGGGACTACATTCTGTATTGTTATCTGAGAGATGGGACTACATTCTGTATTGTTATTAGAGAGATGGGACTACATTCTGTATTGTTATTGAGAGATGGGACTACATTCTGTATTGTTATTAGAGAGATGGGACTACATTCTGTATTGTTATTAGAGAGATGGGACTACATTCTTATTGTTGTTAGAGAGATGGGACTACATTCTGTATTGTTTAGTTAGAGAGATGGGACTACATTCTGTATTGTTATTAGAGAGATGGGACTACATTCTGTATTGTTTTAGAGAGATGGGACTACATTCTGTATTGTTATCTGAGAGATGGGACTACATTCTGTATTGTTATTAGAGAGATGGGACTACATTCTGTATTGTTATTAGAGAGATGGGACTACATTCTGTATTGTTGTTAGAGAGATGGGAATACATTCTGTATTGTTATTAGAGAGATGGGACTACATTCTGTATTGTTATTAGAGAGATGGGACTACATTCTGTATTGTTATCTGAGAGATGGGACTACATTCTGTATTGTTATTAGAGAGATGGACTACATTCTGTATTGTTGTTAGAGAGATGGGACTACATTCTGTATTGTTATCTGAGAGATGGCAAATTCTTATTTTTTTAGAGAATGGGACAAAAATTCTGTATTTTTTTAGGGGGGAAATTTGGGAGGGACTACATTCTTTTTGTTAGAGAGAGGGGGACACTTTCTGTTTTGTTTTGAGAGAGGGGACTACTTCTTTTTGTTTTGAAGTGGGACTACATTTGTATTGTTATTAGGATGGGACTACATTCTTATTGTTTTAGAGAGATGGGCTACTTCTGTATTGTTTTTAGAGAGTGGACTACTTTTCTGTATTGTTTTAGAGAGATGGGCTACATTCTTTTATTGTTTTGGGGATTGATTTTGTATGTTTTAGAGAGTGGGACTACATTCTGTATTGTTATTAGAGAGATGGGACTACATTCTGTATTGTTGTTAGAGAGATGGGACTACATTCTGTAGAGGATATCTGAGAGGATAACTGTTGTCTCCTCTGCTAATGTCGTTGAACATTTCCGTGTGTGGGGGGGGGGGGAGTTTCCTGTCTGCTCGTTGACGTCCCCTCCCTAACAGAAGGCCTTCTACCCACCCTTTGACGGCCAGGGATTGTATGAGTTGTCCTGGTGAGAAAGACTGGGATGATTGAGTCTGGTTCTGCTATGTCTGTCAGATGAGAGGTTCACACACACACACACACACACACACTGTGTGTCTGATATGGCTGAAGAGAGGCGGTGGAAGGAGTGGTAACTGTCCGCTTCACTTCCCCTGACCCTCCAGTACAAAGCCGTTTAATTGGTTGGCTCCAGTTCCGCTGTTTCCAGGTGGTCTAAATGGTCTTGTTGGTCCCGGAGAACGGTAGCACTGGTCTTTTGATAGATACAGTACTGTGTGTGTGAGTGTCAGTGTGGACTAGGTTATGTAATGGTTCTACCGTAGGGTCCTGGGGTCGTCTGGGGACAGACATTTCTTCTCTCTAACTGTCTAACTGTCAAACAAATGAAACATCTAATGGCCATCTGATGTATGTTCTATTCTGAGTTAAATTAAGGTTGCTGGCTGTCAACCCAACGGTGTGGTTTTGTGCTCTGAGTTGTGTACAGGGTCATTCAAGGAACTAACCAGTTGTAGCATATCTGTCTGCCTGCCTGTCTGTCTGTCTGTCCTGCCTGTCTGTCTGTCTGTCTGTCTGTCTGTCTGTCTGTCTGTCTGTCTGTCTGTCTGTCTGTCTGTCTGTCTGTCTGTCTGTCTGTCTGTCTGTTTGCCTGTCTGTCTGCCTGCCTGTCTGTCTGTCTGTCTGTTTGTCTGTCTGTCTGTCTGGCTATATGTCTGTCTGTCTGATGGACTTTACATGCTGTGGGTTCTGGTGTAACATGAAGCAGCTGTCTGTCTGTCTGTCTGATGGACTTTACATGCTGTGGGTTCTGGTGTAACATGAAGCAGCTGTCTGTCTGTCTGTCTGATGGACTTTACATGCTGTGGGTTCTGGTGTAACATGAAGCAGCTGTCTGTCTGTCTGTCTGATGGACTTTACATGCTGTGGGTTCTGGTGTAACATGAAGCAGCTGTCTGTCTGTCTGTCTGATGGACTTTACATGCTGTGGGTTCTGGTGTAACATGAAGCAGCTGTCTGTCTGTCTGTCTGATGGACTTTACATGCTGTGGGTTCTGGTGTAACATGAAGCAGCTGTCTGTCTGTCTGTCTGATGGACTTTACATGCTGTGGGTTCTGGTGTAACATGAAGCAGCTGTCTGTCTGTCTGTTATCTCACTGTACAAACTATACCTCGTTCCTGTGTCTGTGGTGCAGTTTATCTTAGTGTCTAACATCTGATCACAGCAACAGGATATAAATCCCAGATGTGATGTTGCAGCTCTGCAGGGTCACTAGCTGACACAGACATAAACCTAACCTTAACCCTGAACTTAACCACACACTGCTAACCTTTTTGGTTTTCATGAATTTTGTGTGATATATAGTCCATTTTGACTTAGCCGCTGGCCCATCTAATGGAAGTCATCCCGCTCTGCCTCCAGGACAATAGATGTCAACCTGCGATAAAGGGTGAAGGTGCTAATTCATTCAAGACTGGTTAATCAGTTGAGCTAAATGCAGATGCACTGTTGCTTTACTGTGAGTCCCTAACAGTGGTGTGTGTCTGTGTGTGTGTCTGTGTGTCTGTGTGTCTGTGTCTGTGTGTGTGTGTGTGTGTGTGTGCATGTGCATGTGTGTGTGTCTGTGTGTGTGTGTGTGTGTGTGTGTGTGTGTGTCTGTGTGTCTGTGTGTGTGTGTGTGTGTGTGTGTGTGTGTGTCTGTGTGTGTGTGTGTGTGTGTGTGTGTCTGTGTGTCTGTGTGTGTGTGTGTGTGTGTGTCTGTGTGTGTGTCTGTGTGTCTGTGTCTGTGTGTGTGTGTGTGTGTGCATGTGTGTGTGTCCTGCAGGTAAAAACTGGGACCTGAGCGCTGCTCTCAGTGACTATGAGCAGCTAAGACAGGTACACACTGCCAACCTGCCCACTGTCTTCAATGAGGGCCGTTACTACCGGCAACCAGACCATGACACCCCCCAGCACCTCAGCAAGGTGGAGCGGCCCAGTGTCCAGAGACAGGAGGACAACATGCAAGGTGGGCCAAACCATCTGGGGAGATGGGGGGGGGGGGGGGGGGGGGGGGGTACTGGTGGTCATTCCTTTCCAATATTGAGTAGTAATATAGAGTTTTGTTTGCGGTGTTCTACACTGTAGTTGACTGGACCTAAACATGGAAGGTTCATCTAGAAAGCAGTTGAAAGCCATGAAGCTGCAATTTTCACTCTCTCACTCTCTCACTCTCTCTCTCTCTCTCTCTCTCTCTCTCTCTCTCTCTCTCTCTCTTCTCTCTCTCCTCTCTCTCTCTCTCTCTCTCCTCTCTCTCTCTCTCTCTCTCTCTCTCTCTCTCTCACTCTCTCTCTCTCTCTCCAGAGAAGCGCCTGTCTCGGGGCATCTCCCATGCCAGCTCTGCCATCGTGTCGTTGGCACGGTTCCACGTGGCCAGTGAGTGTACCGGTGAGCAGATCCCTCTGGAGATGCCCATCTATACCTTCCAGCTGCCTGACCTCAGCGTCTACAGCGAAGACTTCAGGACCTTCATAGAGAAGGACCTCATCGAACAGTCCACCATGGTGGCCCTGGAACAGGCCGGTGAGATGGGACAGACACGCCAGCCTGCACACACACACACACACACACACACACACACACACACACACACACACACACACACACACACACACACACACACACACGGTCACGGCGGCACGCGCGATACACACACACACACACACACACACACACACACACACACACACACACACGGTCACGGAGGCACGCAAGATACACACACACACACACACACAACACACACACACACACACACGGTCACGGAGGCACGCAAGATACACACACACACACACACACACACACACACGGTCACGGAGGCACGCACGATACACACACACACACACACACACACACACAACACACACACACTGTTTTTAGGGTTCTAAAACACACTCGGTTGATATGGGGTGGACACATCAACCAATTGCCAATTTCCTCTTTTTGTTAGTGAAGCCACGCCTTGGATGATGTAGCGTTTGATTACAAGCTGTCTGGCCCGTGGGAGAGAGGACGCTTCACTGCTTCTAGTGATTAAGGCCTGCATGCATCCCAAATGGTAACCCTATTCCCTATATAGTGCACTACTTTTGACCAGGGCCTGTATGGTTCTGGTCAAAAGTAGTGCACTATGTAGGGAATAGGGTGCCATTTTGGGACTGAACCTAAGATCTCAGAGAACACGTTGTTTTTGTTTCTCCCCAGAGGAGTTGCTTTAAAGGATGCCTCCTGTTACTTGTCCGTTCCCATCAGGATAGAGATGTGTTGTTGTGTTAGCATGAGTCACACGCACACACTAGTCTACGAAGAAATACATCAAATGAGAAATGGCCAAGCCTTATACTGTAAGACACTGTTCCGACTGTCAAAATTCTATTGACATTTGCACTATGTAAATTAAACCTTTGATTTTACAATTGGATACAGTCACTGTTTTATTAGAATCTATGCAAATGTTAGCAGGTGCAATGTGGGTCCCCTTGTGGCTCAATTGGTAGAGCATGGCGCTTGCAATGCCAGGGTTGTGGGTGCAATTCCCCACGGGGGGACCAGTATGAAAATGTATGCACTCACTACTGTAAACCTCTCTGGATAAGAGCGGATAATATATTGTCAATCAGTGCACGGGGTCCTAGATTTACTGGAATGAGACAGCTTTAGGAAGTGTGGATAGGACAACAACATGCATCTATCCAGTTTGGTTACAGATCACTGGTAGTCTGTGGATAGGACAACAAATGCATCTATCAGTCTGGTTACAGAATCACTGGTAGTTGTGGATAAGACAACAACATGCATCTATCAGTTTGGTTACAGATCACTGGTAGTCTGTGGATAGGACAACAACATGCATCTATCCGTTTGGTTACAGATCACTGGTAGTCTGTGGATAGGACAACAACATGCATCTATCAGTCTGGTTACAGATCACTGGTAGTCTGTGGATAGGACAACAACATGCATCTATCAGTCTGGTTACAGATCACTGGTAGTCTGTGGATAGGACAACAACATGCATCTATCAGTTTGGTTACAGATCACTGGTAGTCTGTGGATAGGACAACAACATGCATCTATCAGTTTGGTTACAGATCACTGGTAGTCTGTGGATAGGACAACAACATGCATCTATCCGTTTGGTTACAGACTACTGGGAGTCGTTAACCCAACCCCTGACTGCGTTGTTGTTTTCTGTTGTATGAACAGCTGTTGTTACTGCATCTCCAGAGGCCCTTAGTTCATTTCCTCTACCACTAGGTTGTTCTGAGCCTATCAGAGTTCACTTCCTCTACCACTAGGTAGTTCTGAGCCTATCAGAGTTCATTTCCTCTACCACTAGGTTGTTCTGAGCCTATCAGAGTTCACTTCCTCTACCACTAGGTTGTTCTGAGCCTATCAGAGTTCACTTCCTCTACCACTAGGTAGTTCTGAGCCTATCAGAGTTCATTTCTCTACCACTAGGTAGTTCTGAGCCTATCAGAGTTCACTTTCTCTACCACTAGGTTGTGGTTGTTCTGTGCCTATCAGAGATGATCAGTCCTCTGCTCCTCTCCCTCTGGACTCTCGCGCCACTCTCCCCTGTTAAAGGTGCAATATGCAGAAATCGCTCCACCATTTCCTGGTTGCTAAAATTCTAATAGTTTGCCTAATTTCAGTTTATGTGACAAAACATGTCAGTCATGTCGCCGCTCTCAGCCGACGGCGCTAGATATTCAACTATCTACTAGTCAGATCTATCTCCTATCCTCATCCTCTCATCTCCTTCTCCTGTAATCTCTCCTCCTCTCCTCTTGTGTAGGTCGTCTGAACTGGTGGGCCACTGTGTGTACCAGTTGTAAGCGTCTTCTTCCTCTGGCCACCACGGGGGACGGCAACTGTCTGCTACATGCTGCTTCTTTAGGTGGGCCTGGCCTTGCTGAAGGAGGAGGGAGGGAGGGAGGAGGGAGGGAGGGAGGGAGGGAGGGAGGGAGGGAGCGAGAGAGAGAGAGAGAGAGAGGGAGGGGAGGGGGGGAGGGATGGAGGGAGGAGGGAGGGAGGGAGGGAGGAGGGAGGGAGGGGGAAAAATAGAGCGGGAGAAGAGATCTCTGTTTGTCTGGAATCAAAGAGCTCATAAACCTAGCAACATGCAACAGCTCAGCATTGATGATGGGAAAAAATAGTTGTTAGTGGGTGGTTTAATGAGGGTAATTTGGAGGAAAAGCGTGGAGACATGTAATGTGCGTACAGGGGTCTGCAGAAGAAAAGAAATCCACGTCCACTCGCAGAATCGGGAATCCACCTAGTTACAGGGACTAGTGATCAAGGTAACATTAATCATGTTGACAATGACAGATCTAGGGCGTGTGCTAGGGTATCTCTATTTATCTCTCTCTTCTCTCTCTCTCTCTCTCTCTCTTCTCTCTCCTCTCTCTCTCTCATCTCTCTCTTTCTCTCTTTATCATCTGTGGGGTTGTACATCTGTGTAGTGTGTGTGGGTGTGTATGTGTGTGTGCTGTGTGTCGTTCGAATGTGTTATGTGGTGGGTGGGTAGTGTGGTGGGAGAAGGCGTGTGGGGGGTGTGTGTATGTGTGTGGTTATGTGTGTGGCTGATGTGGTGTGGGGGTGTGATGTGTGTGTGTGAGTGGGGTGTGTTGGTGGTGTGTATGTATGTGTGTGTGTGTGTGTTTGGGTGGGGGGTTTTTTGTGTGTTGTGGTGTGGAATTGTGGGGGGTGTGTTATGTTTTGTGGGGGTGTGTGTGGTTTTTTTGGGGGTGTGTGGGGTGTGTGGGGTGTGTGTGTGTTGGGGTGTGTGGGGTGTGGGGTGTGTGTGTGTGTGTGCTAGGGATTTTTGGGGGGGGTTTTCCACGACAGAGACCGGGGCTGAGGAAAGTTTCCCCGTATCCATTTATAAGGGAGGGAGAGGGAGAGAGAGGCTGAAAAGGAGGGGGGGGCCCGCAGAAACTAAAGAAACCCAAAAAAAGGGAAATTTTAAAAAAAAACACACAACACCCCAACAGTACACACCACAGTACAAACCCACAGTACACCCCCACACACCACACCCCACACACACCCCAACACCAAACACCACACCCCCAGTACCCAAAGTTACACACACAACGTACACTCCCAGGATGGGGTTTTGGGGGGTAGTTTAAAGGGAGGTTTTTCCTTTTGGGGATGTTATGGGGTAGTTATAGTAGTTTCCTGTGTGATGTTATGGGGTTATGGTAGTTCGGTGAGTTATGGTAGTTATATGTAGTTTCCTGTGTGATGTTATGGGGTAGTTATATGTAGTTTCCTGTGTGATGTTATGGGGTAGTTATAGGTAGTTTCCTGTGTGATGTTATGGGGTAGTTATATGTAGTTTCAAGTTGTATTTGTCACATGCACCAGTCCAGTGAAATGCTTAACTTGCCAGCCCTACCCAACAGGGCATTATAAACTGGGTGGTTTGAGCCCTGAATGCTGATTGGCTGAAAGCTGTGGTATATCAAACCGTATATCACGGGTATGACAAAACATTTATTTTGACTGCTCTAATTACAGTGGGGAAAAAAAGTATTTAGTCAGCCACCAATTGTGCAAGTTCTCCCACTTAAAAAGATGAGAGAGGCCTGTAATTTTCATCATAGGTACACGTCAACTATGACAGACAAAATTAGAAAAGAAAATCCAGAAAATCACATTGTAGGATTTTTAATGAATTTATTTGCAAATTATGGTGGAAAATAAGTATTTGGTCAATAACAAAAGTTTCTCAATACTTTGTTATATACCCTTTGTTGGCAATGACACAGGTCAAACGTTTTCTGTAAGTCTTCACAAGGTTTTCACACACTGTTGCTGGTATTTTGGCCCATTCCTCCATGTAGATCTCCTCTAGAGCAGTGATGTTTTGGGGCTGTCGCTGGGCAACACGGACTTTCAACTCCCTCCAAAGATTTTCTATGGGGTTGAGATCTGGAGACTGGCTAGGCCACTCCAGGACCTTGAAATGCTTCTTACGAAGCCACTTCTTCGTTGCCCGGGCGGTGTGTTTGGGATCATTGTCATGCTGAAAGACCCAGCCACATTTCATCTTCAATGCCCTTGCTGATGGAAGGAGGTTTTCACTCAAAATCTCACGATACATGGCCCCATTCATTCTTTCCTTTACACGGATCAGTCGTCCTGGTCCCTTTGCAGAAAAACAGCCCCAAAGCATGATGTTTCCACCCCCATGCTTCACAGTAGGTATGATGTTCTTTGGATGCAACTCAGCATTCTTTGTCCTCCAAACACGACGAGTTGAGTTTTTACCAAAAAGTTATATTTTGGTTTCATCTGACCATATGACATTCTCCCAATCCTCTTCTGGATCATCCAAATGCACTCTAGCAAACTTCAGACGGGCCTGGACATGTACTGGCTTAAGCAGGGGGACACGTCTGCACTGCAGGATTTGGGTCCCTGGCGGCGTAGTGTGTTACTGATGGTAGGCTTTGTTACTTTGGTCCCAGCTCTCTGCAGGTCATTCACTAGGTCCCCCCGTGTGGTTCTGGAATTTTTGCTCACCGTTCTTGTGATCATTTTGACCCCACGGGGTGAGATCTTGCGTGGAGCCCCAGATCTAGGGAGATTATCAGTGGTCTTGTATGTCTTCCATTTCCTAATAATTGCTCCCACAGTTGATTTCTTCAAACCAAGCTATTGCAGATTCAGTCTTCCCAGCCTGGTGCAGGTCTACAATTTTGTTTCTGGTGTCCTTTGACAGCTCTTTGGTCTTTGCCATAGTGGAGTTTGGAGTGTGACTGTTTGAGGTTGTGGACAGGTGTCTTTTATACTGATAACAAGTTCAAACAGGTGCCATTAATACAGGTAACGAGTGAAGGACAGAGGAGCCTCTTAAAGAAGAAGTTACAGGTCTGTGAGAGCCAGAAATCTTGCTTGTTTGTAGGTGACCAAATACTTATTTTCCACCATAATTTGCAAATAAATTCATTAAAAATCCTACAATGTGATTTTCTGGATTTTTTTCCCTCAATTTGTCTGTCATAGTTGACGTGTACCTATGATGAAAATTACAGGCCTCTCTCATCTTTTTAAGTGGGAGAACTTTCACAATTGGTGGCTGACTAAATACTTTTTTACCCCACTGTACGTTGGTAACCAGTTTATAATAGCAATAAGGCACCTCAGGGGTTTGTGGTATATGGCCAATATACCACGGCTAAGGGCTGTATCAAGGCACTCCACGTTGCGTCGTGTTTAAGAACAGCCCTTAGCCGTGGTATATTGGTCATATACCACACCCCCTCTGCCTTATTGCTTAAATTTAAACTGGTTGTTTACTGTGTGATGGGTATATAGTATAGCAGTGTTTCCCAACTCCAGTCCTCCAGTACTCCCAACAGCCCAACTCCAGTCCTCCAGTACTCCCAACAGCCCAACTCCAGTCCTCCAGTACTCCCAACAGCCCAACTCCAGTCCTCCAGTACCCCCAACAGCCCCAACTCCAGTCCTCCAGTACCCCCAACAGCCCAACTCCAGTCCTCCAGTACCACCCAACAGCCCAACTCCAGTCCTCCAGTACCCCCAACAGCCCAACCTCCAGTCCTCCAGTACCCCCAACAGCCCAACTCCAGTCCTCCAGTACCCCCAACAGCCCAAACTCCAGTCCTCCAGTTACTCCCAACAGCCCAACTCCAGTTCCCTCCAGTACCCCCAACAGTCCCAACTCAGTCCTCCAGTACTCCCAACAGCCCAACTCCAGTCCTCCAGTACCCCCAACAGCCCAACTCCAGTCCTCCAGTACCCCCAACAGCCCAACTCCAGTCCTCCAGTACTCCCAACAGCCCAACTCCAGTCCTCCAGTACCCCCAACAGCCCAACTCCAGTCCTCCAGTACCCCCAACAGCCCAACTCCAGTCCTCCAGTACCCCCAACAGCCCAACTCCAGTCCTCCAGTACTCCCAACAGCCCAACTCCAGTCCTCCAGGTCCCCAACAACCCAACTCCAGTCCTCCAGGTCCCCAACAACCCAACTCCAGTCCTCCAGTACTCCCAACAGCCCAACTCCAGTCCTCCAGGTCCCCAACAGCCCAATTCCAGTCCTCCAGTACCCCCAACAGCCCAACTCCAGTCCCCCCAACAGTACACATTGTTGTTGTAGCCCCAGACAAACATACCTGGTTCAACTCATCGAGGGCTTGATGATTAGTTCACAAGTTGAATCAGGTGTGCTTGTCTGGGGCTACAACCAAGGTTAAAGTTAGGTATAAAGTTAAAACAGAACAAATTAAAATGAGTGCCTACCACTGGGATTGAACCTGTGATCCTCTGAGCCGAACAGCACAGTTTAAGCCTTTCCTCTATTCCCAGACACAACAGTCTAGCAAATTGCCAGCCTACTAGATGGAAATACGTGCTCACGTTGCCCCTAGTGGACGGTATTGAAGGCATCTCCCTACTAGATGGTAATAGGTGCTCACGATTGCCCCTAGTGGACAGTATTGAAGGCATCTCCCTACTAGATGGTAATAGGTGCTCACGATGCCCCTAGTGGACGGTATTGAAGGCATCTCCCTACTAGATGGTAATAGGTGCTCACGTTGCCCCTAGTGGACGGTATTGAAGACATCTCCCTACTAGATGGTAATGAGGGCTCACGATGCCCCTAGTGGACGGTATTGAAGGCATCTCCCTACTAGATGGTAATGAGGGCTCACGTTGCCCCTAGTGGACGGTATTGAAGGCATCTCCCTACTAGATGGTAATAGGTGCTCACGATGCCCCTAGTGGACGGTATTGAAGGCATCTCCCTACTAGATGGAAATAGGTGCTCACGATGCCCCTAGTGGACGGTATTGAAGGCATCTCACTACTAGATGGTAATGAGGGCTCACGATGCCCCTAGTGGACGGTATTGAAGGCATCTCCCGACGTCCTGGGGACCTGGACAAACGTTGAATACTGAAGTGGATCTGGTGGGATTTCCCTGGGAGGTTTTCTTCACTACATGACCAGAATTCTGTTCAATCCCACATGCTAGAGGTGTTTATGGGGTAGAAGGTGTAAAAGTGTGTTTGTGGTTAACATCCTTGTTTCGGCTATGTGTGTGTTTGTGTTTGTGTGTGTGTGTGGGGGGGCTGTTTGCATTTCAAATTAGGGAGGTGTTAAACAATGGAAGTGTTAATGAATTTACCTGCAGAGAAGCAGAGAGCCATGTGGCTTAAGTTCCACCCAAGGCAAAAGCAGCCTCACCTCTTCCTATGCAATAAGCACTCACCTCACCACAACATAGTCACACTAAATACATCTAGACAGCAAACAAATAGTCCCACCATACATAAACAGCGACTTCGGAAAGTTTTCAGACCCCTTGACTTTTTCCACATTTTGTTAGGTTACAGCCTTATTCTAAAATTGATTAAATTGTTTTTTTTCCCTCATCAATCTACACACAATACCCCATAATGACCAAGCAAAAACAGGTTTAGAAATTTTTGCTAATTTATTAAAAATAAAAAACAGAAATTATACATTTACATAAGTATTCAGACCCTTTACTCAGTACTTTGTTGAAGCACCTTTGGCAGTGATTAGAGCATCGAGTCTTCTTAGGTATGACGCTACAATTTTGGCACACCTGTATTTGGGGAGTTTCTCCCATTCTTCTCTGCAGATCCTTTCAAGCTCTGTCAGGTTGGATGGGGAGTGTCGCTGCACAGCTATTTTCAGGTCTCTCCAGAGATGTTCGATCGGGTTCAAGTCCAGGCTCTGGCTGGGCCACTCAAGGACATTCAGAGACGTGTCCCAAAGCCACTCCTGCGTTGTCTTGGCTGTGTGCTTAGGGTCGTTGTCCTATTGGAAGGTGAACCTTCACCCCAGTCTAAGGTCCTGAGAGCTCTGGAGCAGGTTTTCATCAAGGATCTCTCTGTACTTTGCTCCGTTCATCTTTCCCTCGATCCTGACTAGTCTCCCAGTCCCTGCCGCTGAAAAACATCCCCACAGCATGATGCTGCCACCACCATGCTTCACCGTAGGGATGGTGCCAGGTTTCCTCCAGACGTGACGCTTGGCATTCAGGCCAAAGAGTTCAATCTTGGTTTCATCAGACCAGAGAATCTTGTTTCTCATGGTCTGAGAGTCCTTTAGGTGCCTTTTGGCAAACTCCAAGTGGGCAGTCATGTGCCTTTTACTGAGGAGTAGCTTCCGTCTGGCTACTCTACCATAAAGGCTTGTTTGGTGTAGTGCTGCAGAGATGGCTGTTCTTCTGGAAGGTTCTCCCATCTCCACAGAGGAATTCTAGAGCTCTGTCAGAGTGACCATCGTGTTCTTGGTCACCTCCCTGACCAAGGCCCTTCTCCCCCGATTGCTCAGTTTGGCCGGGCGGCCAGCTCTAGGATGAGTCTTGGTGGTTCCAAACTTCTTCCATTTAAGAATGATGGAGGCCACTGTGTTCTTGGGGACCTTCAATGCTGCAGAAATGTTTTGGTACCCTTCCCCAGATCTGTGCCTCGACACAATCCTGTCTCGGAGCTATACGGACAATTCCTTCGACCTCATGGCATGGTTTTTGCTTTGACATGCACTGTCAACTGTGGGACCTTATATAGACAGGTGTGTGTCTTTCCAAATCATGTCCAATCAATTGAATTTACCACAGGTGGACTCCAATCAAGTTGTAGGAACATCTCAAAGGATGATCAATGGAAACAAGATGCACCTGAGCTCAATTTCGAGTGTCATAGCGAAGGGTCTGAATACTTATGTAAATACATTTGCAAACATTTCTAAAAACCTGTTTCTGCTTTGGTGCCTTATGGGGAGTGTTAGTATGGGTAGATGCTGACAAATTAGTTTTTGATTGAAATCAATTTTGTAGAAATAAGGCCTGTGAACGTAACAAAATGTGGAAAAAGTCAAGGGGTCTGAATGCTTTCCGTGTTGTCATCACACCCCTCCTCAATAACCTCCCCAACATGGTAATACATCCATCTGTTATCATAGGGTCCTGGTCAAAACCCTATGGGTCCTGGTCAAAACCCTATGGGTCCTGGTCAAAACCCTATCCGGGTCCTGGTCAAAACCCTATCGGGTTCCTGGTCATAACCCTATGGGTCCTGGTCAAAACCCTATCCGGGTCCTGGTCAAAACCCTATGGGTCCTGGTCAAAACCCTATGGGTCCAGGTCAAAACCCTATGGGTCCTGGTCAAAACCCTATGGGTTTCCTGTCAAAAACCCAAAGGGTCCTGCTCATAACAGATATAGGGTCTTGGTCATAACCCTATGGGTCCTGGTCATAACCCTATGGGTCCAGGTCAAAACCCTATGGGTCCAGGTCAAAATCCTATGGGTCCTGGTCAAAACCCAATGGGTCCTGGTCAAAACCCTATGGGTCCAGGTCAAAACCCTATGGGTCCAGGTCAAAATCATATGGGTCCTGGTCAAAACCCTATGGGTCCTGCTCAAAACCCTATGGGTCCTGGTCAAAACCCTATGGGTCCTGGTCAACATGTTCCAAAAAAAAGGGTCCTGCTCCATAAAAAATAAGGGGTCTTTGGGCATAACCTATGGGTCCTGGTCATAACCCTATCGGTCCTGGTCAAAACCCTATGGGTCCTGGTCATAACAGATATAGAGTCTTGGTCATAACAGATATAGGGTCCTGGTCATAACCCTATGGGTCCTGGTCATAACAGATATAGGGTCCTGGTCATAACAGATATAGGGTCCTGGTCATAACAGATATAGGGTCCTGGTCATAACAGATATAGGGCCCTGGTCATACAGATATAGGGTCCTGGTCATAACAAATAGGGTCCTGGTCATAACAGTATAGGGTCCTGGTCTAACAGATATAGGGTCCTGGTCATAACAGATATAGGGTCTTGGTCATAACAGATATAGGGTCCTGGTCATAACAGATATAGGGTCCTGGTCATAACAGATATAGGGTCCTGGTCATAACAGATATAGGGTCCTGGTCATAACAGATATAGGGTCCTGGTCATAACAGATATAGGGTCCTGGTCATAACAGATATAGGGTCCTGGTCATAACAGATATAGGGTCCTGGTCATAACAGATATAGGGTCCTGGTCATAACAGATATAGGGTCCTGGTCATAACAATAAGGGGCCTGGTCATAAAAGATATAGGGGCCTGGTCCCAAAAAGATATAGGGTCCTGGTCATAACAGATATAGGGTCTTGGTCATAACAGATATAGGTCCTGGTCATAACAGATATAGGGTGCCATTTGGGATGCACGCCTATAGAACACTTTACAGGGTGTGGTTTGGCTATTAGCTTGTGTCAGGGAGGGAGGGAGGGAGGAGGGGGGGAGGGAGGGAGGGGGGAGGGAGGGAGGGGGGGGGGAGGGAGGGGGGAGTTTCAGTGTAAGGCAGACACCTGTTGTTAAGTGCCTGGTAATGCTGTTGTTCTGCCGTGCCAAAGGCTTTGTGTTGTGATTTGTTTTGCCACCTGATCATACAGCCCTGCTTGCTCTGGGTCCATGGTGACGTACATAGCTGGGCTTTGCTGTGTGGTGCCATGCTCTACTCAGTCAACACCTGCTGTTCTATGTCTGTTCATTCATTTAGACCGGCCCCAATGCCGTAGGGGACACACACTCACACACACACACTCACACACACACACACGAACACACACCGGCCCCAATGCCGTAGGGGACACACACTCACACACTCACTCACACACGAAACACACACCGGCCCCAGTGCCGTAGGGGACAGTAGATGGAGATGTATTAGAAAGGTCTCAGGCTCCACCCAGTGCATCAGAACCCCCTCCAGAGGTCCAGGCTTCTGGCTGAGCAGGGTCTCTGACGTCAGCCCCTGTCCCCACTGTCCTCCACCCACACTGGGCCTGGAGGTGGCACCATGTCCCCTGTCAACACTCACCAACCACTAACACACCACTCCCATCAACAGCAAGATGAACATTTGCTTTGAGAATGTGTGTGTGAGTGAGTGAGTGAGTGAGGTGAGTGAGTGAGTGAGTGAGTGTGAGTGTGTGTGTGTGTGTGTGTGTATGAGTGTGTGTGTGAGTGTGTGTGTGTGTGTGTGTGTGTGTGTGTGTGTGTGTGTGTGTGTGTGTGTGTGTGTGTGTGTGTGAGTGTGTGTGTGTGAGTGTGTGTGTGTGTGCTGTGTTGGTGTGTGAGTGTGTGTGTGTGTGTGTGTGTGAGTGTGTGTGTGTGTGTGTGTGTGTGAGTGTGTGGTGTGTGAGTGTGTGAGTGTGTGTGTGTGTGTGAGTGGTGTGTGTGTAACCCTCTCTGTTCTCTCTCCTCAGTCAGGGCTGGTGTACACAGAGGAGGAATGGGAGAGAGAGTGGAAGGAGTTGCTGAAACTAGCCTCCAGTGAGCCTCGGACACACAGCAGCACAAACAACAACACTACTGGAGGGTGAGTACAACACAGACACAACGGAGTGCACCACAAACTGCTTACATACTAGCTGAGATGAGACGTCATGTATGATGGTACAGACCTGACATGAGACATGGGTACTGATGCTACTATTGACGCTGAGCATTGAGACTGTCATGGGTAATGTGTCTACTATTGACTAGCTGAGCATTGAGACTGTCATGGGTTATGATGGTCTACTATGCTGACATACGTCTGTATAGGTCATATGGGACTGGTCATGGGTTATGATGGTCTACTATTGACTAGCTGAGCATTGAGACTGTCATGGGTTATGATGGTCTACTATTGACTGGCTGAGCATTGAGACTGTCATGGGTTATGATGGTGGAGCTGAGCTTGTGCTGGTTGATGTCTGTATAAAGCCCTGACCATGGTGTCTCTATACCAGATCAGACCTGCTACAGCAGAATGTGGTAAGCCTCTAGGTTATGTAAAAGGCAATGGGCTCTGAGTAGTTGTCATGGACCAAGATTCAACCAACACCACACAAACACCAAACACACCAACAACAAACACACACACACACACAACACACCACACACACACACACACACACACACAACACAAACAACACACACACACACAGAGATACACACACACACACACACACACACAGATACACACACACACACACAGATACACACACTTGACATTCAAACATCAGCCAACATTAGAAGTTGATGTAAAATGTTTTCCCAGTAGATGTGGTGGTGTGTGTTAGTGTCTGACGGGGTTGTGTGTTGATGCAGGCTGGATAACTCAGAGGACCCTGTGTATGAGAGTCTGGAGGAGTTCCATGTGTTTGTCCTGGCTCACGTGCTGCGGAGACCCATCATAGTGGTGGCTGACACCATGCTCAGAGACTCGGGGGGAGAGGGTGAGGCACACACACACACACACCACACACACACACACACACCACACACACACACACACACACACACACACACACACACACACACACACACACACACACACACACACACCCTTACGTACTGCAGAGACCCATTGTAGTGGTGGCTGACACCATGCTCCGAGACTCAGCAGCCTGCGCCATACACACACAAATGTGCTCGAATCCCCGAGCGAGAGAAGGTGAAAAATCTGTCGATGTGCCCTTGAGCACAAGGCACTTAACCCTAATTTCCTGAGGGTCACCGTTAATAGTGGCAGACCCTCTCCCAGGGTGTCTCAGGGGGAGTTGGGATATGCAAAAAAAATAATAAAAAATACAATTCACACTTGTATGTAATACACACTTGTACATGTGTGAAATAGGACAAAATATAAGTATTCAATTATTATTTATTATTATTATTATTATTACATAGTCACATACAGACATACCTGCTCACAAAACCCCAAGAAGAAGAACGGTCAGACTCGGAGCCATGTATTTAGAGAGATAGAGAGGACATTGAGGTTTCTTCATTATGATGCATTTACATGGCATGGCAGCCATGTTAGATTCCCCATGGGCAATATGGACCAATAGCAGTTCACATCATTTTCTGAATTTTAAACAGTGCTATGTACAAGATTTCAAATTCTTGTCATAAATGGATATATGGAATGGTCAAAGGCGCTGACATGGCGTCCAAAAGTTGGCCCAGCTCTTTAGATATTTACATTCACGTCATTTAGCAGACGCTCTTATCCAGAGCGACCTACAGGAGCAATTAGGGTTAAGTGCCTTGCTCAAGGGCACATCGACAGATTTTTCACCTAGTCGGCTCGGGGATTAGAACCAGCGACCTTTCGGTTACTGGCACAACGCTCTTAACCACTAAGCTACCTGCCGCTCTGGTCAGACTCATTCGCATAAATCAAACTACGCTCATTCCCAGATGGGACAAAAAGAGAACTTTACACTGTGCCTTTCATCTCAACCTCCATGTAATAGAACTCCCTGACCTCTCCTCCCTCCCCCCCTCCCTCAGCATTTGCCCCCATCCCGTTTGGAGGGCTGTACCTGCCCTTGGAGGTGCCTCCTAACCTGTGCCACTGCTCCCCCCTGGTCCTAGCCTATGACCAGGCACACTTCTCTGCCCTGGTGTCCATGGAGCAGAAGGACCAGCACCAGGAACAAGGTAAAACACACCACTATAAGTTGTCTGAGGATGTCCTAATATGTATACCGTAACTCCTAAGTTGACTTAGGATGGTCTAAAATTGTACCGGGACTCCTAAGGTGACTAAGGATGTCCTAAAACATATACCATGACTCCTAAGGTGACTAAGGATGTCCTAAAACGTATACCATGACTCCTAAGGTGACTGAGAATGTCCTAAAACGTATACCATGACTCCTAAGGTGACTGAGAATGTCCTAAAACGTATACCATGACTCCTAAGGTGACTGACAATGTCCTAAAACGTATACCATGACTCCTAAGGTGACTGACAATGTCCTAAAACGTATACCATGACTCCTAAGGTGACTGAGAATGTCCTAAATTGTGTACCGGGACCGCTTAAGTATCTGAGGATGTCCAGAAATGTATCCCGTAAACCCCACCTTAAGAGAGACGGCACTCATTATTTAGATCACGTCAGACCTTTCTCAATTAGGGACACTTACATGTCTTCTATATTCAACCTGCCATCTTATACTCCCTGGGTCTCTTTTATGGTGTCCCCCTGGCTCATGTGTCTCCCCATCGTTGGTCGTCTTTATTATGGTGTCCTGGGTCGTCTTTATTAGTGTCCCTGGGTCGTCTTTATTATGGTGTCCCCTGGTCGTCTTTACTTATGGGTCCCTGGGTCGTCTTTTATGGTGTCCCTGGGTCGTCTTTATGTATGGGTCCCTGGTCGTCTTTATTATGGTGTCCCTGGGTGTCTTTATTATGGTGTCCCTGGATCGTCTTTATTATGGTGTCCCTGGGCGTCTTAATTATGGTTCCCTGGGTCGTCTGTTATTGGTGTCCTGAATCGTCTTTATTATGGTTCCCTGGGTCGTCTTTATCTATGGTGTCCCTGGTTCTTTATTATGGTGTCCCTGGGTCGTCTTTTTATGGTGTCCCTGGGTCGTCTTTATTATGGTTCCCTGGGTCGTCTTTATTATGGGTCCCTGGGTCGTCTTTATTATGGTGTCCCTGGATCGTCTTTATTACTGAGCTGTCCCTGGGTCGTCTTTATTATGGTGTCCCTGGGTCGTCTTTATTATGGTGTCCCTGGGTCGTCTTATTATGGTGTCCCTGGATCGTCTTTATTATGGGTCCCTGGGTCGTCTTTATTTGGTGTCCCTGGTCGTCTTTATTATGGTGTCCCTGGGTCGTCTTTATTATGGTGTCCCTGGTCGTCTTTATTATGGTGTCCCTGGGTATGGTGTCCCTGGGTCGTCTTTATTATGGTGTCCCTGGGTCGTCTTTATTATGGTGTCCCTGGGTCGTCTTTATTATGGTGTCCCTGGGTCGTCTTTATTATGGTGTCCCTGGGTCGTCTTTATTATGGTGTCCCTGGATCGTCTTTATTATGGTGTCTCCTCTGGGTCGTCTTTATTATGGTGTCCCTGGTCGTCTTTATTATGGTGTCCCTGGGTCTCTTTATTATGGTGTCCCTGGTGTCTTTATTATGGTGTCCCTGGGCGTCTTTATTATGGTGTCCCTGGGTCGTCTTTATTATGGTGTCCCTGGTCGTCTTTATTATGGTGTCCCTGGGTCGTCTTTATTATGGTGTCCCTGGGTCGTCTTTATTATGGTGTCCCTGGTCGTCTTTATTATGGTGTCCCTGGGTCGTCTTTATTATGGTGTCCCTGGGTCGTCTTTATCATGGTGTCCCTGGTCGTCTTTATTATGGTGTCCCTGGTCGTCTTTTTATGGTGTCCCTGGGTCGTCTTTATTATGGTGTCCCTGGGTCGTCTTTATTATGTGTCCCTGGGTCGTCTTTATTATGGTGTCCCTGGGTCGTCTTTATTATGGTGTCCCTGGTCGTCTTTATTATGGTGTCCCTGGGTCGTCTTTATTATGGTGTCCCTGGTCGTCTTTATTATGGTGTCCCTGGGTCGTCTTTATTATGGTGTCCCTGGGTCGTCTTTATTATGGTGTCCCCTGGATCGTCTTTATTATGGTGGTCCCTGGGGTCGTCTTTATTATGGTGTCCCTGGGTCGTCTTTATTATGGTGTCCCTGGGTCGTCTTTATTATGGTGTCCCTGGGTCGTCTTTATTATGGTGTCCCTGGGTCGTCTTTATTATGGTGTCCCTGGATCGTCTTTATTATGGTGTCCCTGGGTCGTCTTTATTATGGTGTCCCTGGGTCGTCTTCATTATGGTGTCCCTGGGTCGTCTTTATTATGGTGTCCCTGGGTCGACAAGTTCACCATGAAATAGACAAACATGCAGACAGACATACAATCTGTTATGTAGATGTAGGTGTCTCTACACAGGGGTGTCAAACATAAGGCCCATGAGGGGGTCCAATCCGGCCCGCGGGTGGTTTGAATTTAAAAATAATATATATATAATAATCATATTATTATTATTTAAATGTTATACTTTAAAGCGGCACTATGCAGAGATCGCTCCGCCATTTCCAGGTTGCTAAAATTCTAATCGTTTGCCTAATTATGTAACAAAACAAGCACGTATAGTGGAGAGAATCATTGTACCATCTAAAGTGCTGTGAAATATATTTCAATTTCCAAATATTATATTTTATGTTCAGCTGTTTTGAAGCTGGTGTACAAAACTGAAAGTAAAAGACGCAAAAACTAAACTTAAGATCTGGAAGCATCGAAATAGTAGAACATAGAACAGATCCACCGTTTCTTAGACTTACTTTCAATGAGAATAACAGATCTATTGTATAACTCATATTTCTATGTGAATTTGGTCGGGTCTCCCAAAAAGTTACATATTGCAGCTTTAAAATGCCTAAAGCCAAACCGAAACTGTGTAGAAATGATAATGGACCTACATTCATACAGTTTCTTGACTCTGTCCAACTCGCTAATAATCACCGAAATGAAAGCTAGACAGTCAGGGAGGACTATCATTTGCAATTTGTGATGGCGAGGAAATATAAGACATGTTCAGTGCGGCCCTCCGGACCTCGTTGAAGACAGAATGCGGCCCTCCGGACCTCGTTGAAGACAGAATGCGGCCCTCCGGACCTCGTTGAAGACAGAATGCGGCCCTCCGGACCTCGTTGAAGACAGAATGCGGCCCTCCGGACCTCGTTGAAGACAGAATGCGGCCCTCCGGACCTCGTTGAAGACAGAATGCGGCCCTCCGGACCTCGTTGAAGACAGAATGCGGCCCTCGGGGGCTAAATTAGTTTGTCACCCTGTCGCTCTGCAGTCCTGCAGCATGTGAGGTGTCTGTGATCCAGGCTACAGCTAACAGCTACACTACAGAGACCCCTGTGTTAGTCTGCCCTCTGTGGGACATTTCTCATCCTGACTGGCTCCTTTAACCCTCCCTACTTCCCCTCCTTTCCTCCCTCCCTCCCTCTTTCTCTCCTCCCTCCCCTCTCCCTCCCTCTCTCTCCTCCTCTCTCTCTCTTCCTCTCTTCTCTCTATCTGCTGCCACGCCTACATTATTCTCCCTATATATCTCATATCTATCCCCTCCTCATCTCTCCCAATTCTCTCCCCTGGGCTGGCATAGGGCTGCATGGACAGACAGTGGGGGGTGGAGTGGGGGGGGGGGGTGGAGGGTGGACGAGAGGAGAGGAGGAGAGAGAGATACTTTTTTTCTCTCTCTCTTATAATAACAATCCTTTTTGGTCTTCCCAGCATTGCTGGTTTTATATGCTTGTTTTATTGCTGTGGTTTAGCAAATATGACTAAAGCCAGTCTATATAAACAGTTATTTAAAACTATTTTTAGATTGACTCTTAGCATTTTTACTGCTTTACAGTAAGTTGGCCCAATCAGCATTTCCACTGTCTCCCACTAAAATGAACGAGGCCGTGTTATCTTTAAAACCTCTGTTTCATTCAACACTCTTACTGACTATGACCGCTAGCTTGAGGGATGGAGTGAAGTGTGAAATGTACCAAAAACGTGAACATACATGTATCATCATTAACGACAGTATTAGTAATTAGTATTCTTGGGATGAATCCTTATCTGTGCCACGCTCTTTCAGTAATGGGATGTATTACACCTGAACTCCACCAGAGGGCAGCGGTGACTCAATGAAAGAAGCCATTGCGCAGCCAGTGAGGGAGGGACTGCAGCACTGTCTTTAGGCTGCCGCAGTGTTTCCCACAGACAGTAATGCAACACTAACACATCTGGTTCAACTAATCAGCTCGTCATCAAACCCTTATTTAGTTGAATTCCGTTGTGTTATTTGTTGGGCTGGAACAAACATGTGCTGTCCTGTGTGGTCCCCACCAGGACCGGCGTTGAATATTGCTGCTGTTTAGTTGCCATTGGATCCTGTTGATGTGTTCTGAAATGAGTTCCTGGTGTTTCTTTTAGACAAAAAGCGATGGAAGGCAGCTAGCTATGGAATCACGCAGCCTTGCTGCCTTACAGGTGGTGTAAAGACTTGTTTTGACAGCTGGGGCTTTTGATAACCGCCATTTTGTGTCAGACTGCTGTATTCGTACTGTATCCGTGGATCTACTGTCTCTCTCATAGAAATATAGGGTCTCTATCTCTTTTGACCACCATTTTGTGTCAAACTGCTAGGTTTCATATCCTCTGTAGCTCAGCTGGTAGAGCACGGCGCTTGTAACGCCAAGGTAGTGGGTTCGATCCCTGGGACCACCCATACACAAAAATGTATGCACGCATGACTGTAAGTCGCTTTGGATAAAAGCGTCTGCTAAATGGCTTATTATTATATCCTATCTGGGTACCTGTTGTCTCTGTTCTCCCTTTTAGCACAATCAATGGGAAGATCTGTGTTGTTCAGTGTTCCTAGATAGCTGTAGTGTTTGTGACCAGCATGTCCCAGCCAAGTTTCTACCAGTCTCTGTTTACTATAGAGAAGAACACAGCACACCACCTCACGTTGAGGCTAGCTGGACCAGGTCCCAGTCACACTGACTGGTCACGGGTTGAGTCCCAAATGGCACCCTGTTCCCTGCATAGTGCACTACTTTTGACCGGACCGCATAGTCCCAAATAAAACCCTGTTCTCTTTGTAGTGTTGCTACTGTGGTAAAAAAAAAAAAGTAGTGCACTATATAGGGCATAGGGTGCCATTTGGGACTCAATCCCCATGCTTCCCTGTTTGGAACTCCTGTAAACATTCTAGAACGCTGTCCAGAACAACTACTGTCTTCCTTGTGATGTCATGCTGTCTTCCTTGTGATGTCATGCTGTGTTCTAGTCAGAAGCTCCACTGCCTACAGGATATGCCAGGGTTCCCCAACTGGAATTTGTTTTCAATTTTTAAATTTTATAATTTTTTTATTGTTGGACATAAAAGACTGTAAAATCACCAGGAAATCAGCTCCAAGTGATTTTAATTTAAGAAATCTGTTCCCAAAGTATTCCCACGCATAATAGAAGAGACACGTGATTGTACACAAATGTAAGCAAGGTTTGTTTTAGTCAAATATTATATCTGTTTTGGGCTTCTTGCGGTCAATTTGCGGTCTACAAATTATTTGTAATTATGTTCCGCCCCCCCCGACCATCCGCTCAATAAAAAATCGGCCCGCGGCTGAGTCTAGTTGATGATCCCTGGTGTACGCAGACTACCAAATCAATCAACAAAAAAAAAAACACAAGGTGCAATTTCAATCAATTAGCCCATGTCAGCTAACATTTCTACATTACTAGGTGAGGTAATCATCACCCAGTGATGTACCCAGGGGCCCTGACCTGCAGTGGACCCCCAATTGATTTTGTTAGTCACTGTCACTCAGATATCATATGAACACGGCATAAGTCATGTCAAAATGTGTAGAATTGCAAGAAATGTACTTTAACACACACACAACAACAAAGAAATCCCCTGCCAAGAGGGGGGGCGGTACTAAAGTGGGTTGCCCGTGAGGTGGGTGTGCCCCGGGCCCCCCAGGCCCCCCAACCAAATCTTGCTTAGGGCCCCCTAAAGGCTAGAGGCTCTTCTGGTTCTACTCTATGCAAATTGTTGTCAGGGACAGGGAGGGAAGGGGGAGGGAGGGAGTTATTCAGGGAGAGGATGAGGGAGGGGAGGTGCAGGGTGAATTAAAGGGGGAGGTGAGGTAGGGAGGGAGAGAGGACCGGGAGGGAGGGGGGAGGGAGGAGCGAGAGGAGTGAGGGAGGGAGAGAGGAGGGAGGGAGGGAGGGAGATAAAAAGAGAGAGAGGAGGAGGAGGAGGGAAGGGGAGAGGGAGGGAGGAGGGGGGGGCGTTGGGTTGTTCTAGGACAGGACATCCGGGTTCTTTCAACAGAGGAGGTGTAAACACTGAATGAGAGGCGGGGTAAGGGGGGGGGGGGGGGGCTCAATGTCTGAACTCTGGTGTACCCAAGTAAACACCCTATTCCCTTTTAAATGCAGTCCTTATAAGGGCCAGTTTGAAAGAGGCACTGTAAGGGGTAGGGGGCCATTTGGGCTTGGCCTCATTACTCTTACACTAAAGTGCTGTGCTGGGGGGGGGCGATCATACGGAAAACATACTGAACCTCCATACCACTGTAAAACCCCGTGTCAACCAGTCTTTACACAGATTCATAAGAGCAACATGTGCTTTTTTGTACACCGCCAACCACTTCTCCCCTTTTTTCTGAAATGGCCTAGTTTTAAAAAAAACCCTCGCCTTTCTGGAGGGGTTAAAAATGAGAAGGTAAGGAAGGAAAGGGGGAAAGAGAGAGAGAGATGGAGAAAGAAAAAGGTGGGGGGGCCTAAAAAAGGGGGGCTCAAAAAGGGGGTTCAGAATAGAAAGGAGAAAAAATTTGAGAAAAAGGAACGTTTTCCCCCTTTTTTCCTCTCCCTCTCTTTTCTCCCTTCCTCCTTTCTTCTCCCTTTTTTCCTCTCCCCTCTCCCCTCCGTCTCCCTTTTTCTCCTCTCCATCTCTTTCTCCCTTTTCCCCCCTTTTTCTCTCCTCTCCCTCTCTCTCTCTTTTTCTTTCCCCTTTTTCCCTTTTCTTTTTTTTTATTTTTCCCTTAAAAAAAACTTTCCAAAAGGGGGCTTTCTTTTGTTTCTCTTTTTTTTTTTTCCCCTGGGGGGGGTTTCCCTCACGCACAAAAAATTTTAAAAATTTTTAAACAATTTTAATCCGGGGTTGCTCCTGGTTTTTACCTTAGAGGCGTGGGCAGGCTTACCCCTTTCAAGGGGTTTATACTTTTAAACCTTTTTTCAGACGGGGTGTCATTATCCTCCAACCCCAGAGAGGGAGCGGGACGTTTAGCTTTTTAAAGGAAAAAGGGGAAAAAAAGGGAAAAGGTTACCTTTTTGGGGACTTTATCACCTTTTGTATAAATTACAGTTGACAGATTTTAGGTACACATTTTTCCATTATAGAAGCAAATGTTCAAAAAAACAACCCCTAATAAAGGGTGTTTTTTTAAAAAGACATTTTCTCAATGCAGGGAGATTTTTTCATCTTTTTTAACAGGGGGGGGTAAAACCCTTGTTTGTCTCAAAGCGAAAAATGTTTTATCTTGGGGCAGTACATTGTCTCTGCAGGAGTGTTTTAAAATGACAGGACAGTACTGTTTTCAAAAATTTTTTCAGAAAGAGAGGGAAAATTTTAAACTCAGTCCTTGTCTCTCATGGTGTTTTAAACGAAACATCATTTTTCCAGCGGGAAGGCTACAAACTTTTTTTGGGGGAAAAAGAAACTCTTTTTAAAGAAGATTTTTTTAAGGGTTTTTTTGGGGGGGTTTTTTTAAAAAAACACCAACAAAAAAACACCCAACACAAAAAAAAACCGGGGGACACAAAAAAAAACCAAAAAAATAAACGGGCCCCAACACACACACCCCACACACACCCACCCCAAACACACAACCCACACCCACACCCCCACACCACACCTCCCCCCACCACACACACCTCAATCAAACACACAAAACAAAACAAAAAACTTTACTTAATACCTTTTTAAACCCCTCAAGACCACACACAAAAACACTTTTCTTTATCATCTAAACCACGGAACAAAACACACACGACTTATGTAAACACTCCCACACACACACAGGATGCAGCATTCCTCTCTACGTTCTGAGAGTTACAGCTGAACCTTTTGGAAAGCCCTGAACGTCAGAAGCTAGCTAACTGTATGAGAGGACACCCTGTCCTCTGTCTCAACAAGCTGCCTGCAGTCTCTCCAGTCCCTCCCTCTGTGCTGCATGACCATGTAGTTTAGGTAGCAGGAGGAAGAGGAGGAGGAGGAGGAGGAAGAGGAGGAGGAGGAGGAGGAGGAGGAGGAGGAAGAGGAGGAGGAGGAAGAGGAGGCCAGCAGTTACTGTTCTGTTGCACACTGATGAAGCCTGTAATGCTCCAACACGTTGGTTTCCACAACAACGATGTTCTCTTCCGTTAACTTCCATTGTCCTCAAGAGGGGAGACATTTTTTCTGCACATTTTAAACACCTCAGTTTGTTCTTCAGTTCATTCATCCACCTATGAAGGGCTGAGAGATAGCGACTGATGACAGAAATAAACACTATTTCCAGACTGCAGGGTAACACATAGACAGACTGCATGGTAACACATAGACAGACTGCATGGTAACACATAGACAGACTGTATGGTAACACTAGACCTGCATGGTAAACATAGACAGACTGATGGTAACACATAGACAGACTGCAGGGTAACACATAGACAGACTGCATGGTAACACATAGACAGACTGCATGGTAACACATAGACAGACTGCATGGTAACACATAGACAGACTGCAGGGTAAAACATAGACAGACTGCATGGTAACACATAGACAGACTGCATGGTAACACATAGACAGACTGCATGGTAACACATAGACAGACTGCATGGTAACACATAGACAGACTGCAGGGTAACACATAGACAGACTGCATGGTAACACATAGACAGACTGCATGGTAACACATAGACAGACTGCAGGGTAACATAGACAGACTGCAGGGTAGACAGACTGCATGGTAACACATAGACAGACTGCATGGTAACACATAGACAGACTGCATGGTAACACATAGACAGACTGCATGGTAACACATAGACAGACTGCATGGTAACACATAGACAGACTGCATGGTAACACATAGACAGACTGCAGGGTAACACATAGACAGACTGCATGGTAACACATAGACAGACTGCATGGTAACACATAGACAGACTGCATGGTAACACATAGACAGACTGCATGGTAAACACATAGACAGATGCATGGTAACACATAGACAGACTGCATGGTAACACATAGAAACTGCATGTAACACATAGACAGGACTGCATGGTAACACATAGACAGACTGCATGGTAAACACATAGACAGACTGCAGGGTAACACATAGACAGACTGCATGGGGAACACATAGACAGACTGCATGGTAACACATAGAACAGACTGCAGGGTAACACGTAGACAGACTGCATGGTAACACTAGACAGACTGCATGGTAACACTAGACAGACTGCATGGGTAGACAGACTGCAGGGTAACACTAGACAGACTGCATGGGGAACACATAGACAGACTGCAGGGTAACACATAGACAGACTGCATGGTAACACAAAAACAGACTGCATGTAACACATAGACAGACTGCAGGGAACACATAGACAGACTGCATGGTAACACATAGACAGACTGCAGGTAAACATAGACAGACTGCATGGTAACACATAGACCCAGGACGCATGGTTAACAGTAAGACAGACTGCAGGGTAACACATAGACAGACTGCATGGGGAACACATAGACAGACTGCATGGTAACACATAGACAGACTGCATGGTAACACATAGACAGACTGCATGATAAACACGTAGACAGACTGGCAGGTAACATAGACAGACGCATGGTAACACATAGACAGACTGCATGGTAACACATAGACAGACTGCATGATAACACAGACAGACTGAGGACACAAGACTGCATGGTAACACATAGACAGACTGGATGTAACACATAGACAGACTGCATGGTAAAACGGCAGACTACGGCAGGTAACACATAGACAGACTGCATGGTAACACATAGACAGACTGCAGGTAACACATAGACAGACTGCAAGGAACACATAGACAGACTGCAGGTACACATGACAGACTGCATGGTAACACATAGACAGACTGCAGGGAACACATAGACAGACTGCAGGGTAGACAGACGCATGTAACACAAGACAGACTGAGGATACAACATAGACAGACTGCAGGGTAACACATAGACAGACTGCATGGTAACACATAGACAGACTGCATGGTAACACATAGACAGACTGCATGGTACACATAGCAATTGTGTGGTAACACATAGACAGATGATGGTAACACATAGACAGACTGCAGTAACAATAGACAGATGAGGTAAACACATGAAGCGCATGGTAACAATAGACAGGACTGCATGGGAACACATAAGATGATGGTAACACATAGACAGACTGCTGTAACACATAGACAGACTGCATGGTAACACATAGACAGACTGCAGGGTAGACAGACTGCAGGGTAACACATAGACAGACTGCAGGTAACACATAGACAGACTGCATGGTAACACATAGACAGACTGCATGGTAACACATAGACAGACTGCATGGTAACACATAGACAGACTGCAGGGTAACACATAGACAGACTGCAGGGTAGACAGACTGCAGGGTAACACATAGACAGACTGCAGGGTAACACATAGACAGACTGCAGGGTAACACATAGACTGCATGGTAACACATAGACAGACTGCATGGTAACACATAGACAGACTGCATGGTAACACGTAGACAGACTGCATGGTAACACATAGACAGACTGCATGGTAACACAAGACAGACTGCATGGTAACACATAGACAGACTGCAAGTGGTAACACTAGACAGACTGCATGATAACACATAGACAGACTGCATGGTAACACATAGACAGACTGCATGGTAACACATAGACAGACTGCAGGATAACACATAGACAGACTGCAGGGTAACACATAGACAGACTGCATGGTAACACATAGACAGACTGCATGGTAACACATAGACAGACTGCATGGTAACACATAGACAGACTGCATGGTAACACATAGACAACTGCATGGTAACACATAGACAACTGCATGGAACACATAGACAGACTGCATGGTAACACATAGACAGACTGCATGGTAACACAATAGAACAGACTGCAGGTAACACATAGACAGACTGCATGGTAACACATAGACAGACTGCATGGTAACACATAGACAGACTGCATGGTAACACATAGACAGACTGCATGGTAACACATAGACAGACTGCATGGTAACACATAGACAGACTGCATGGTAACACATAGACAGATGTGTGGTAACACATAGACAGACTGCATGTAACACATAGACAGACTGGCATGGTAACACATAGACAGACTGCATGTAACACATAGACAGACTGCATGGTAACACATAGACAGACTGCATGGTAACACATAGACAGATTGTGTTAACACACTAGCAGACTGCCATGGTAACCCATAGACAGACTGCATGGTAACACATAGACAGACTGCATGGTAACACATAGACAGACTGCATGGTAACACATAGACAGACTGCATGGTAACACATAGACAGACTGCATGGTAACACATAGACAGACTGCAGGATAACACATAGACAGACTGCAGGGTAGACAGACTGCAGGGTAACACATAGACAGACTGCATGGTAACACATAGACAGACTGCATGGTAACACATAGACAGACTGCAGGGTAACACATAGACAGACTGCATGGTAACACATAGACAGACTGCATGGTAACACGTAGACAGACTGCAGGGTAACACATAGACAGACTGCATGGTAACACATAGACAGACTGCATGGTAACACATAGACAGACTGCAGGGTAACACATAGACAGACTGCATGGTAACACATAGACAGACTGCATGGTAACACATAGACAGACTGCAGGGTAACACATAGACAGACTGCATGGTAACACATAAGACAGACTGCCATGGTACACATAGACAGACTTAGGGTAACACATAGACAGACTGCATGGTAACACATAGACAGACTGCATGGTAACACATGACAGACTGCATGGTAACACATAGACAGACTGCAGGGTAACACATAGACAGACTGCATGGTAACACATAGACAGACTGCAGGGTAAACACATAGACAGACTGCATGGTACACATAGACAGACTGCAGGGTAACACATAGACAGACTGCATGGTAACACATAGACAGACTGCAGGGTAACACATAGACCGACTGCATGGTAACACATAGACAGACTGCAGGGTAACACATGACAGACTGCATGGTAACACATAGACAGACTGCAGGGTAACACATGATACAGACTGCATGGTAACACCTAGACAGACTGCATGGTAACACATAGACAGGACTGCAGGGTACACATAGACGACTGCATGGTAACACATAGACAGACTGCAGGGTAACACATAGACAACTGCATGGTAACACCTAGACAGACTGCAGGTAACACATAGACAGACTGCATGGTAACACATAGACAGACTGCAGGGTAACACATAGACAGCTGCATGGTAACACATAGACGACTGCATGGTAACACATAGACGACTGCATGGTAACACTAGACAGACTGCAGGGTAACCATAGACAGACTGCAGGGTAACAGACTGATGGGTAACACTAGACGCTCTCTAACACATAGACAGACTGCGGGTAACCATAGACAGACTGCAGGGTAGACAGACTGCAATGGTACCACATAGACAGATGCAGGGTAAACACATAGACAGACTGCATGGTACACATAGACAATTGTGTGGATAACACATAGACAGACTGCAGGGTAGACAGACTGCATGCTAGACACATAGACAGACTGCATGGTAGACACCTAGATATGAGGAACCAGGGGGTGTTAATTCTCCACTCTGTTGGATAAGGGGAACCAGGGGGTGTTAATTATGCACTGACTGTTGGATAAGGGGAACCAGGGGGGTTAATTATCCACTACTGTTGGATAAGGGGAACCAGGGGGTGTTAATTCTCCACTGACTGTTGGATAAGGGGAACCAGGGGGTGTTAATTCTCCACTCTGTTGGATAAGGGGAACCAGGGGGTGTTAATTCTCCACTCTGTTGGATAAGGGGAACCAGGGGTGTTAATTCTCCACTGACTGTTGATAAGGGGAACCAGGGGGGAGTTAATTTCCACTCTGTTGGATAAGGGGAACCAGGGGGGTTTAATTATCCACTCTGTTGGATAAGGGGAACAGGGGGAGATATTCACCTGACTGTTGGATAAGGGAACCAGGGGTGTTAATTCTGCACTGACTGTTGGATAAGGGGAACCAGGGGGTTAATTTCCACTCTGTTGGATAAGGGGAACCAGGGGGTGTTAATTATCCACTCTGTTGGATAAGGGGAACAGGGGGAGATAATTATCCTCTGACTGTTGGATAAGGGGAACCAGGGGTGTTAATTCTCCACTCTGTTGGATAAGGGGAACCAGGGGGTGTTAATTCTCCACTGACTGTTGGATAAGGGGAACCAGGGGGTGTTAATTCTCCACTCTGTTGGATAAGGGGAACCAGGGTGTTAATTCTCCACTGACTGTTGGATAAGGGAACCAGGGGGTTAATTCTCCACTCTGTTGGATAAGGGGAACCAGGGGGTGTTAATTCTCCACTGACTGTTGGATAAGGGGAACCAGGGGGGTTAATTCTCCACTGACTGTTGGATAAGGGGAACCAGGGGGTGTTAATTCTCCACTGACTGTTGGATAAGGGGAACCAGGGGTGTTAATTATCCACTCTGTTGGATAAGGGGAACAGGGGGAGATAATTATACTCTGACTGTTGGATAAGGGGAACCAGGGGGTGTTAATTCTGCACTGACTGTTGGATAAGGGGAACCAGGGGGGGTAATTATCCACTGACTGTTGGATAAGGGGAACCAGGGGGTGTTAATTCTCCACTCTGTTGGATAAGGGGAACCAGGGGTGTTAATTCTCCACTGACTGTTGGATAAGGGGAACCAGGGGGTTATTCTCCACTCTGTTGGATAAGGGGAACCAGGGGGTGTTAATTTCCACTGACTGTTGGATAAGGGGAACCAGGGGTGTTTAATTCTCCACTGACTGTTGGATAAGGGGAACCAGGGGGTGTTACTTCTCCACTCTGTTGGATAAGGGGAACCAGGGGGTCAATGTGTCCAGCTGAAACATGCTATTAAGTTATCCTGATACTCACACCTCACCATTGTTACAGTCCCCCCTCACCCGTTGTTGTCACAGCCCCCCCCCCCACCCCCCCCCCTACACAATATCCAGACTTATTTTAAAAAAGACACAATATCAAGAGTTTATAAAGTAATGTCAAGACTTCGCCGAGGCCGCCTCCCCTCCTTGTTCGGGCAGTTTCAAACATTCTGCGTCCACCGGCCTACTAGTTACTGCCGATCCATTTATCATCACTCCATTTGTCTTGTCTTCAATCACACACACCTGGTCCTTATTCCCTCATTAGTCATGGTATAAGTGTTCCCTCTGCTTCCTAGTCTGTGTGGGTGATTGTTATTTGTGGAGGTTAGTGAAGCTCGGTGGAGCTCGTTGTATTTTGTATCGACGGGAGATTTCCCGTGTGCGTTGTATTTTTCCAGTGTGCCTGTTTTGTGCCCTGGAGTGTGTTTGACGCATTTCTGCGTAAACCTGTATTTTTGCGGATTAAAGCCTGTTATTCTGTGATTTACCCTCCTGCGCCTGACTCCTTCAACACCACCTCATCACAGTAATACACAATATCAAGACATTTATAAAGAAATACACAATATCAAGACATTTATAAAGAAATACACAATATCAAGACATTTATAAAGAAATACACAATATCAAGACATTTATAAAGAAATACACAATATCAAGACATTTATAAAGAAATACACAATATCAAGACATTTATAAAGAAATGACATAATATCATACCCTTTGAATACCAAAAGAAATACACAAAATCAAGACATTTATAAAGAAATACACAATATCAAGACTTTATAAGAAATACACAAATCAAGAACATTAAAAGAAATACCCAATATCAAGACATTTATAAAGAAATACACAATATCAAGACATTTATAAAGAAATACACAATATCAAGACATTTATAAAGAAATACAGTAATAAAGAGTAGTAAAAAGAAGAGGGTAATGTTCTGTGTGTGTGTGTGTGCGTGCGTGCGTGCGTGTGTTTGTGTGTTTGTGTTTGTGTGTGTGTGCGTGCGAGTGTGTTGTGTGTGTGTGTGTGTGGATGGTTGGTATGGTGTGCGTGGCTGTTGTATGTGTGTGTGTGTGTGTGTGTGTGTGAGAGTGGTTGTGTGTGTGTGTGTGTGTGTTGGTTTGTGTGTTGTGTGTGTGTGTGCGTGGTGTGTGTGTAAGGGTGGGTGAGTCACTGGGAGTCGGTGAAAAAAGTATCTTGAGAAACAGGTGTGAAGAGTCAGTGAAAATGGTCTCTAAGGTGCAGGTGATCTATTGTGGTCAGATGTTCTGGGTAGGGCTGCAGTGGACGTGAACCATTGGTCCGGTTTTTGTTCTGGCTGTGTTTTTCCTCCCCATAAACAAGCTTGGCCCTTCTCCTCCGGTCTGCTGACACAATCAGGTCCTCAAACTCAGGGGAGCGCCAGGGTGGGGAGGTTATTAAAAACGCATCGGGTTCCTCTGGGTCTGTCTCCACATCAAACATCATGTCTTCAGTTGCCCCCGCAAATCGCTGCTTCTGTTCAGCAGAGAGTTATTTTCACCGACTGGCCAGAGCCTGTGAAATTACAGGAGACAATAACTTATTCTGCCCAATAAACAAACGGTCTTGAACACTGGAATCTCAAAGCCAAAAACGCACACACTAAAATCTATGGAACTAGTCTCAACTTTTCCAAACTCAGTACTGTATTTAAAATGGATGGATTGGTTAACATTTATAAACAAACCTCTCTTTTTCAGTCCAATACCGATTTGCAGCTGGCTGTGTGGTTACCTGGCTGTATGGTTACCTGGCTGTGTGCTGTATGGTTACCTGGCTGTGTGCTGTGTGGTTACCTGACTGTGTGGTTACCAGGCTGTGTGGTTACCTGGCTGTGTGGTTACCTGGCTGTGTGGTTACCTGGCTGTGTGGTTACCAGGCTGTGTGGTTACCAGGCTGTGTGGTTACCTGGCTGTGTGGTTACCTGACTGTGTGGTTACCTGGCTGTGTGGTTACCTGACTGTGTGGTTACCTGGCTGTGTGGTTACCTGGCTGTGTGGTTACCTGGCTGTGTGGTTACCTGGCTGTGTGGTTACCTGGCTGTGTGGTTACCTGACTGTGTGGTTACCTGACTGTGTGGTTACCAGGCTGTGTGGTTACCAGGCTGTGTGGTTACCTGGCTGTGTGGTTACCTGGCTGTGTGGTTACCTGGCTGTGTGGTTACCTGGCTGTGTGGTTACCTGACTGTGTGGTTACCTGCTGTGTGGTTACCAGGCTGTGTGGTTACCTGGCTGTGTGGTTACCTGGCTGTATGGTTACCAGGCTGTGTGGTTACCTGACTGTGTGGTTACCTGGCTGTGTGCTGTGTGGTTACCTGACTGTGTGGTTACCTGGCTGTGTGGTTACCTGACTGTGTGGTTACCTGCTGGGTGGTTACCAGGCTGTGTGGTTACCTGACTGTGTGGTTACCTGACTGTGTGGTTACCTGACTGTGTGGTTACCTGACTGTGTGGTTACCTGGCTGTGTGCTGTGTGGTTACCTGACTGTGTGGTTACCAGGCTGTGTGGTTACCTGGCTGTGTGGTTACCTGACTGTGTGGGTTACCTGACTGTGTGGTTACTGATGTTGGTTACCTGACTGTGTGGTTACCATGCTGTGTGGACTGTGTGTGTTACCTGGCTGTGTGGTTACCAGGCTGTGTGCTGTGTGGTTACCTGGCTGTGTGGTTACCTGGCTGTGTGGTTACCTGACTGTGTGGTTACCTGACTGTGTGGTTACCTGGCTGTGTGGTTACCTGACTGTGTGGTTACCAGGCTGTGTGCTGTGTGGTTACCAGGCTGTGTGGTTACTGGCTGTGTGGTTACCGCTGTGTGGTTACCTGTGTGTGGTTACCTGACTGTGTGCTGTGGTTACCTGCTGTGTGGTTACCAGGCTGTGTGTTACCGGCTGTGTGGTTTACCTGGCGTGTGGTGGTTACCACGTGTGTACGCTGTGTGGTTACCTGGCTGTGTGGTTACCAGGCTGTGTGGTTACCTGCTGTGTGGTTACCTTGGCTGTGTGGTTACCTGACTGTGTGGTTACCTGACTGTGTGGTTACCTGGACCTGTGTGGTTACCTGACTGTGTGGTTACCAGGCTGTGTGTGGTTACCTGGCTGTGTGTGTGGTTACCTGACTGTGTGGTTACCTGGCTGGTGGTTACGCTTGTATGGTTACCGGCTGTGTGGTTACCTGGCTGTGTGGTTACCTGGGGTGTGTGGTTAACTAGGCTGTGTGGTACTGGTTGTGTGGTAACTAACCTATTGTGTACCCTGCTTATCTGACCTGACCATATGATGTGTGATCTGACCTGACCATATGATGTGTGATCTGATCTGACCATATGATGTGTGATCTGATCTGACCAAATGATGTGTGATCTGTGTTTTCCAGCTGTGATCCCGCTGACTGACTCAGAACACAAGCTGCTATCTCTCCACTTCGCTACGGACCCTGGGAAGGACTGGGAGTGGGACCGGGACGACAACCACAACACCAAGCTAGCAGAGTGAGTTAGTTATGAGTTAGTTACAACCAACGACAACACCAAGCTAGCCAAGTGAGTTAGTTATGAGTTAGTTACAACCAACGACAACACCACGCTAGCCAAGTGAGTTAGTTATGAGTTAGTTACAACCAACGACAACACCATGCTAGCCAAGTGAGTTAGTTATGAGTTAGTTACAACCAACGACAACACCGAGCTAACATCAAGCTAGGTGGTGCTGGTGGGGATAGTAGGGGTGGTGGTGGAGGGGGGGGGGGGATAGTATTGGTGGTGTTGGAGGGGATAGTAGGGGTGGTGGTGGAGGGGGGGGGGGGGGGGGGGTGGAGGGAACAGTTAAAGCCTTGCTTCCTCTCTGTGGGAGGACAGTAAACACAGAGGAGAAAGGAGGAGTGGAGATCCCCCTCTAATCATAGAGTCATTATCTCTTGGCTTCATACATGATTATCTTCCATAACGCTGCTTTACACAGAGGAGCTCAACTCTGATCTGAATGCTATAACCGCATGGAGCAGTTTCTGTGTGTCCTGGTGCAGTGTCTGTCTGTCATGGAGCAGTATCTGTGTGTCCTGGAGCAGTATCTGTCTGTCATCGAGCAGTGTCTGTCTGTCATGGAGCAGTATCTGTCTGTCCTGGAGCAGTGTCTGTCTGTCATGGAGCAGTGTCTGTGTGTCCTGGAGCAGTGTCTGTGTGTCATCGAGCAGTGTCTGTCTGTCATGGAGCAGTGTCTGTGTGTCCTGGAGCAGTGTCTGTGTGTCATCGAGCAGTGTCTGTCTGTCATGGAGCAGTATCTGTGTGTCATGGAGCAGTGTCTGTGTGTCATGGAGCAGTGTCTGTCTGTCATGGAGCAGTGTCTGTCTGTCATCGAGCAGTGTCTGTCTGTCATGGAGCAGTGTCTGTGTGTCATGGAGCAGTGTCTGTGTGTCCTGGAGCAGTGTCTGTCTGTCATGGAGCAGTGTCTGTCTGTCATGGAGCAGTGTCTGTGTGTCCTGGAGCAGTGTCTGTGTGTCCTGGAGCAGTGTCTGTGTGTCATGGAGCAGTATCTGTGTGTCATGGAGCAGTGTCTGTCTGTCATGGAGCAGTGTCTGTCTGTCATGGAGCAGTATCTGTGTGTCATGGAGCAGTGTCTGTCTGTCATGGAGCAGTGTCTGTGTGTCCTGGAGCAGTGTCTGTGTGTCCTGGAGCAGTGTCTGTCTGTCATGGAGCAGTGTCTGTCTGTTAGAGAGAGAAAGAGACAGGATGCTAGGTTGATGAGATCATTTCTGAGACTTGTGTGATTTGGTGAGTTTAAAAAGCACTCATTTGTGAGACTTAGATTGAATGATTTCCCACTGGGAAATGAGGATTGAGAAGAGAACTCCACATTAATTGTGTACATATGTGAAGTCTGTCACGCCCTGGCTCTGGGACTCTGTTATGTTGAGTCAGGTTGTGTTGTTTCTTTGTGTTTTGTGTGCTAGGGTGATAGTCTAGTTTTGTATTTCTATGTTGGCCAGGGTGGCTCCCAATCAGAGACGGCTGTAGCTCGTTATCTCTGATTGGGAGCCATACTTAGGTAGCCGTTAGGCATTCATTTGGTGTGGTTTCTTGTTCCGTATGGTTTATTTTGTAGCCAAGGACTTCACGTTTCGTTATCGTTTGTTGTTTTGTTCGTGTGATCATAATAATTAAAGGATGTTCACATTCCACGCTGCGCATTGGTCCTCTCTTCCCGACGATCGTGACAGACGAAACCACCAAAACTGGACCAAGCAGCGTGTCCAGGAGCCATCGCCAGGGGAATCTCTAGCGGATCTCCTGTGCCACCTCGACTGGGTCAAGCCGTGTGAGGAGGAGAGAGGCTGGAGTTGGAAGCAGAAGAGCGAGAGTTGGGCGAGAACTATGGAGGCCTGGTCCACGGGGAGGAGAGACACCCAGAAAATGTTTAGGGGGGGGCTCACGCCATGGACGATGGGGCAGCAGGAGGCCGCGATAGAGCGGTTAGCAGAGGAGGCCGCCAGGTTACGGGGGCCACTGGTCACCAAGGGGAAGGAGAGTGTAGAGGCACGGCGAGAGGTACTGGGGTGTGTTACCAGCCCGGTCCGGCCCGTCCCTGCTCCCCGCACCAAGCCTGTGGTGCGCGTCGTCAGTCCGGCACAGCCCGTGCCTGTTCCACCGGTGCCTGGTCCGGCACCGGTCAGCTGCTCCACTCCGGAGCTAGAGCAATCCGCTCCACCAGTGTTCAGTCCAGCTCCGGCCAGCAGGGCCAGACCGGACCAGGGGCGCTTTGGGGGGTTGGTTGGAGGGTGGGGGTCAAGCCCGGAGCCGGAACCGCCTCCGAGGAGGAATGCCCACCCGGCCCTCCCCTGTTCGGTTTATGTTTGGCGCGGTCGCAGTCCGCGCCTTTGGGGGGGGGGTACTGTCACACCCTGGCTCTGGGACTCTGTTATGTTGAGCCAGGGTGTGTTGTTTCTTTGTGTTTTGTGTGCTAGGGTGATAGTCTAGTTTTGTATTTCTATGTTGGCCAGGGTGGCTCCCAATCAGAGACGGCTGTAGCTCGTTATCTCTGATTGGGAGCCATACTTAGGTAGCCGTTAGGCATTCATTTGGTGTGGTTTCTTGTTCCGTATGGTTTATTTTGTAGCCAAGGACTTCACGTTTCGTTATCGTTTGTTGTTTTGTTCGTATGATCATAATAATTAAAGGATGTTCACATTCCACGCTGCGCATTGGTCCTCTCTTCCCGACGATCGTGACAAAGTCACACAAAGTCTAAGATTGAAGGTGTTTGTGAAGTTAGATCCTCTGAAGGTGTTTGTGAAGTTAGATCCTCTGAAGGTGTTTGTGAAGTTAGATCCTCTGAAGGTGTTTGTGAAGTTAGATCCTCTGAAGGTGTTTGTGAAGTTAGATCCTCTGAAGGTGTTTGTGAAGTTAGATCCTCTGAAGGGGTTTATGAAGTTAGATCCTCTGAAGGGGTTTGTGAAGTTATATCCTCTGAAGGTGTTTGTGAAGTTAGATCCTCTGAAGGTGTTTGTGAAGTTAGATCCTCTGAAGGTGTTTGTGAAGTTAGAGCCTCTGAAGGTGTTTGTGAAGTTAGATCCTCTGAAGGTGTTTGTGAAGTTAGATCCTCTGAAAGTGTTTGTGAAGTTAGATCCTCTGAATGTGTTTGTGAAGTTAGATCCTCTGAAGGTGTTTGTGAAGTTAGATCCTCTATCTTTTTTGGTATTTACTTTTCTATCTAAAAGACAGTCTAAGACTTTGGAGTGAAGTTTCTAGTGGAGTTAAAAGGCACTACACAATGATCATGAGCCTTGCCCCTGTTGTCCTCTGGCATGTGGCTATTACCATATATAAATAACTCTGTCCATTTACTTTGTCAAGTAAGCTTCCAGTGTATTCCACTGCAAGACAAAACAGAGGGTTATAGGACCCGGTCAAATCAACAACACAGAAAAGTTATAGGGTCCCAGTCAATCAGACAAAACAAGGAAAGTTATAGGCCCGGTCAATCAGACAAAACAGAAAGTTATATGCCCAGGTCATCAGACAAAACAGAAAGTTATAAGGCCCAGGCAATCAGACAAAACAGAAAGTTATAGGGCCCAGTCATCAGACAAAACAAAAGTGATAGCCCAGGTCACCAGTACAAAACAAAGTTATAGGGCCCAGGTCAATCAACAAACAGAAGTTATAGGGCCCAGTCACTGCAAGACAAAACAGAGGGTTATAGGGACCCAGGGTCAAGCAGACAAAACAGAGGGTTATAGGACCCTGGTCAATCAGACAAAACAGAAAGTTATAGGGCCCAGGTCAATCAGACAAAACAGAAAGTTATAGGGCCCAGGTCAATCAGACAAAACAGAAAGTTATAGGGCCCAGGTCAATCAGACAAAACAGAAGGTTATAGGGCCCAGGTCAATCAGACAAAACAGAAGGTTATAGGGCCCAGGTCAATCAGACAAAACAGAAAGTTATAGGGCCCAGGTCAATCAGAACATTACAGGAAGTTATAGGGCCCAGGTCAATCAGAACATTACAGGGCCCAGGTCAATCAAGTCAGCTAACTGTGCTGCGGGGAACATTGAAAAATATCATACCTCTTCAATACAAGAATGAATGTTGGGATTCATGTACTCAACTAAACATTGTTCACAAATACTTTATTTTATTAGAGATTAACTATCCATAGTTTATTATCTATAAAACTTCAGCACGTATCACTCCAAGCTGTAGTGTTCAATCTTATTTCGTGGCTAAATATAGTTCTTCAAAAGCACAGCATTTATAATCCAGATTGAATGATTGATATCTAATCTTCGTAACCTTTCTCCCTCAGTTTAATCCTGTCTCTGGAAGCCAAACTCAACATGCTACACAACTACATGAATGTGACATGGATCAGGATACCATCTGAGACCAGGGTAACAGTCCTCATTCTCTTCCACATGGTTTATGACATTCAGTAATGGTTGTAAACTGATTGAGCTTCCTCTCCCCCCCCTTCTCATCCCTCCCTCCCTCCCTCCCTCCCTCCCTCCCTCTCTCCAGGCTCCCCTGGCCCAGCCGGAGTCCCCCACGGCGTCCCACGGGGGCGATGACGTCCAGTCTCTAGCCGACTCCATGGACTCCGACCGCGACTCCGTCTGCAGCAACTCCAACGTCAACAACGGCAAGGTCTCCACGAAGGATCCCAAGGAGAAGACGGAGAGGCGACTGCAGCAGCGTAAAGACAAGGACAAGACCAGGACGGACTCTGTGGCCAACAAGCTGGGCAGCTTCAGCAAGACCCTGGGCATCAAGCTGAAGAAGAACATGGGAGGTCTGGGAGGGCTGGTCCACGGAAAGATCAACCGCTCCAACTCTGGAGGCAACGGCCGGAACAACGGAGGAGGTGGGGGCAACGGAGGAGGGGGTGGCAACGGAGGAGGGACAGAGAATAACGGAGAGAAGAAGAAAGAGAAAAAGGAAGGCAAAGCCCGGAAGGACGGAGCAGGAGGAGGAGGAGAGAAGGAGGGGCAGTCTGGCCAGTCTGCGAGTACGTCGTTCTCCTCGGACAAGACCACCAGCCCGTCTCCCACTGAGCGTCCCCCAGGCGTGCCCTCCCCTCCCGGGGAACGGGACAGGGACAGGGGGGGTCTCCTGGCCAGGCTGGTGGGGGATAAGGCCCTGTCGGAGCACTGGAAGTACAGCACAGACGTCAAGCTGAGCCTCAACATACTGAGAGCCGCCATGCAGGGCGAGAGGAAGTTCATCTTTGCTGGCCTTCTCCTCACCTCCCACCGCCACCAGTTCCACGAGGAGATGATCTCCTTCTACCTGACCTCCGCTCAGGAGCGCTTCTCTGCCGAGCAGGAGACTAGGAGGAAGGAAGGAGAGAAGAAAGCTGCAGCTACGACCACGACTACTACGACCAACGGGCTGAAGAAACCAGAGCAGGAGAGCGCCCCTCACCGGGAGAGGGAGAGGGAGAGGGAAAGAGAGAGAGAAAGGGAGAGAGAGAGAGAGAGGGAGAGGGAGCGAGACGCATGCACCCCTCCTCCTCCTCCCTCCTGCCCTCCTCCTCCTACTCCCCTTCCCCAGGACTTCATCTCTTCCCCAGCCAGACACCACCAAAGCCATACCCCTCACATCCCCCCTCAGATTGCCCTGAAGATGCAGGGCCGCCACAGCCCCTCGCCCCACTCCTCCCCTAGCAACGGTGCTACCAGGAGAACCGGGTCCGTCCCCCCTGTCCCAGGCCCCGTCCCAACTACAGTCCCAGTGTCGGCCCACTACAGCCATACCCCTCCCATCCAGAGGTCCAGTATCATCCACCTGAGAGACGTCAACCTCCATACCCCCCAGGCCCCCAGCTTCCAGCCGGACGACCCCCAGCCCAGCTACCAGCCTCCTCTGGTGGGCACCCTGAAGACCTGTGCCACTTACCCCCAGCAGAACCGCTCCCTGTCCTCCCAGAGCTACTCTCCAGCCCGCTTGTCTGGGGTCCGTTTGGGCACCGGGGTCAACCACACCCACCCGGGGGTCCCAGGCACCACGGAGCCCTACAACATGCCTGGGGAGCACAAGTCCCACACCTATACCAACGGCTTCAACGCTAGCGACATACAGGACTGTCTGGAGTTTGCCGACGCCGACTCGCCTCAGACCTGGGGGAGCAGTAGCGTCACCAGGACGGGGTCAGGGTCCGACAAGGTCAAAGGTCAGATCGGTGGCGCTGGGGGTTGCCTGGTGTACTGCCTGCAGCAGAGGAGGTGCAAGAGGGAGAACTGCTCCTTCTACGGGCGACCGGAGACAGAGAACTACTGCTCCTTCTGCTTCAAGGAGGATCTGAAACGCAGGGAGAGGGAGGCCAAGGCACTCAGTAGGCCTGGATAGCCCCCCTGGCGCCGCGGCAGCCAGTGGTGCTACTGCTGTAGCATGGTGCTGCAAACCCTGCTGCTGACAACGCAACACAACACAAGACAACAGAACAGAACAGTGTCCATAGAGAAGGAGATAGAACAGGTCTACTCTATAGACTGTATGTGGATGTTGGGACGTAATGTCATACAACATAAAGACAGACAGACAGACAGACGGACAGACGGACGGACGGACGGACGGACGGACGGACGGACGGACGGACGGACAGACAGACAGACAGACAGACAGACAGACAGACAGACAGACAGACAGACAGACAGACAGACAGAGAGACAGACAGACAGACAGACAGACAGACAGACAGACAGACAGACAGACAGACAGACAGACAGACAGACATGCTCAGAGCCAGGTGATCGCCTGCTCTGTTTAAAACTTTTTGATTCCTGTCACCTCTTCTGTCCCAGTGTACAGTAGGTTACTGTAAAGGACACAACTACTTGATGACAAGCAGGGTAGATCTCTGTCCACTTAACATCTTTGGCCAGCAGGAATTTATAACTTTGTTCGTTTTTTTTTTGTTCTTTTTTTTTATCATTTGGTTCAACTTCAACTTTTGGTTAGTTCATGGAGAAATGTCTGTGCTTTTTGCCCACAACTTGAATGGCAAAGTAAGAAATAATTTCAGGCACATACACATAAAATAGCAATTGCATTTTGTTGTGTGGTGGTTCAAAACTTAAAACTTAAACCTAACTTCAAACTTAAACCGCACCACTAGGCTGCTTCGATCTTAAAAACCCTTCAACAAACTTCTCAAAGCAAACTTCTCAAAGCCATACATTAGTAACTTCAACGTTTTTCGATCAATAAATGGTAACTCACTGTGAACCCCTTTCTGTTGTCTATGCACTCATGTTGGCTTCAGGAGGGAGTTCAAATCCTCTGTTGCAGTTGAAAGACAATAGACAACATAGACAGATATTCAGTCAAACGCTAACAAACCCACACTAAGGAAAATAACAGTTTTGTGTGGTGAAAATGCCCTTTGTAAGTGAAGTCTACAGTATGTACTCAAAATGATTACGGGGTTAAACGAAAAAACAACAACAAAATCGAATTGGTTTTAATGAATCATACTCCCAATCACAGGGAGGGCAGGGATACTGTTTTTACTTCAGTGCTGGTTTGATTGGTCTGCCTCAAAAAAAAATGTTTTATTAATCTTTTCCTCTGCATTCTACAGGTTTTAGATGAACTGAATGTTTTTCGGCAGCAAGCTGATTGTTTTGGTTGTTATTTTACATTGCTACCATCAGGTTTCACATTTCAATGTCTTAACGTTCATTACAACACAAATAACATTATATCTCCTGGCCAAAGATGTTAATATGTGTAGAGAACAACGCTCTCCAAACACTACTGAATATAATGCCGTTCGGGATCCTTTTTTTGTGTGACTGGTTCATGGACTCTCACCATTTAAATGTAAAATATTATTTTGTATTCATTTGAGAGTTTTACACAACTTAAATGATTCATTTGCACATTAGATACCAGTGTACAGAACAAAGCAAAAATGAGGAGGGAAAAAATGATTAGTATATTGTAATAAAATAACAAAACAAAAAACAAAAAAAAATGGTGTATAGAGAATGTGATGATGGGGAATTTACAAGCCAAGGCTATAAAAGTGTAATATAGAAAATATTTTTATATGATTTTCACAAAATGCCATGAAGCAATATTTTGCGCTTTTTCTTATGGACACCGTTTTCACTTTGGTAAGTTACTTTAAGTGCATGGCCAACGGGGGTGGGGGGGGGGGGCTGAAAGTGAAGCGTCGGTTGGTTGAGGGAGCTATTGGTCCAACGTCACACCAAGGGATAAAATACCTATAGTGTTGTCATGATTGCTTCGATCAATCTGACATTGAAGGGCTGTTGGTTTTAAACGGGTTTATAGATCTAGATATAACAAAATCCTTCACATCACCACATTTATGAGATTAGAGGCACATTACACCCTTCATGGTTGCTCCACTGGTCTGCAGATCGCTGACAAAACTGTAACAAGTGTTAGCTAACATTTAAACAGGGAAATTCCAGTTTCTGGTTAATCACGACACATCAGAAGTCACATCACATGATGGTGGTGAATCAAATTGTCTTTAATTAATATGTAAAAAAAAGCACAACATACGTTAATTAGTACTATGTTGTACTTCCACAGTGGTTATACGACTATCCCTACCAATGGCGTTATGTTGTCCTATAGTTGGGGTATGTTGTCCTATAGTTGGGGTATGTTGTCCTATAGTTGGGGTAAAAACACTCTGTTGAGATTCAGGGCCTGTATTCATACATCGTCCAACAGTGAGAGTGCTGATCTGGGATCAGGTCAACCAGTCCACTCATTATAATCTAACAAAACGGATCCTGGATCAGCGCTCCTACTCTGAGAGGCTTTATGGATACGGGGGCCTGGTGTCTTGTCACCCAGATAGAACCCATCCATCCAGAGTCCTATGGAATGAACAGTAACAGATAGAACTCATCCATCCAGAGTCCTATGGAATGAACAGTAACAGATAGAACCCATCCATCCAGAGTCCTATGGAATGAACAGTAACAGATAGAATCCATCCATCCAGAGTCCTATGGAATGAACAGTAACAGATAGAGAATATCAACTAATTCCCATAACTGGTACTGTGTCTTCGTCTCTACTTAATTGGTCATATTGTATGAACATGCAGAGCCTGGGCTTGAGCTGATAGATCTGTCCAGAGCAAGATGGCAGGGTGTGTGTGTGTGTGTGTGTGGTGTGTGGTGTGTGTGTGTGTGTGTGTGTGTGTGTACCTGTGTACGTGTGTGTTTCTGAGTCTAATCTGAAATACCTCAGTTGTCCTATTCGGGGTTTAGGGGTTGTCAACAATGGTTCGGCATCGACTTTTCACGTCTTTGATTTAGCAATAATAATAAACTGTCCCTGTGTTCTGTTGTTGGTGTAGACCAGGGGTTCCCAAAACTTTTTCACTCGGAGCCCCCCCTTTCCAGCATTGGGGAACACCCCCCCCCCCCCCCCCCCCCCCCCCCCCCCCCCCCGCGCGCACCCGCCACATCTATTTCTATGGGCACAAGCACTGTTCACACAAACTGTTCACCACGCTGGTTGGTAGAGAGAATTATGCAGGTTTAAAGCTTCTTTCCTGCAATTCTACACATTTTGTCATTGGGGTGCAAAGAAAATGTTGCAGTTTTAAAGCAACTTTTCTTGCAATTCTATACATTTTGCCATGTGTAATGTGTATTCATGTGATATTTGAGTGACCAAAAAAATATACAACAATATCTGGGCTAAAAACAAACAAAATAAAAAAAACTGACATGGGCTAGTTGATCTGGACATTTCTGACAAGTTATAAATAGCTCTCTAAGGTCTGCAATGACTAACATGACAAGAGGAATACTGATGATGCACGACCCAATTTAGAAATTGCACCTTGTGCATTTTACTATTACATATTTCAAGAGTAAGTTTAAAGCCGGACTGAGTTCCTTTAAGAAATATATATACAGTACCAGTCAAAAGTTTGGACACACCTACTCATTCAAGGGTTTTTCTTTATTTTTAAAACTATTTTCTACATTGTAGAATAATAGTGAAGACATAAAAACTATGAAATAACACATATGGAATCATGTAGTAACCAAAAAAGTGTTAAACATATTTTATGTTTGAGATTCTTCAAAGTAGCCACCCTTTGCCTTGATGACAGCTTTGCACACTCTTGGCATTCTCTCAACCAGCTTCATGAGGTAGTCACCTGGAATGCATTTCAATTAACATGTGTGCCATGTTAAAAGTTAATTTTTGGAATGTCTTTCCTTCTTAATGCGTTTGAGCCAATCAGTTGTGTTGTGACAAGGTAGGGGGGGTATACAGAAGATAGCCCTATTTGGTAAAAGACCAAGTCCATATTACGGCAAGAACAGCTCAAATAAGCAAAGAGAAACGACAGTCCATCATTACTTTAAGACATGAAGGTCAGTCAATACAGAACATTTCAAGAACTTTGAACGTTTCTTCAAGTGCAGTCGCAAAAACCATCAAGCGCTATGAGGAAACTGGCTCTCATGAGGACCGCCACAGGAAAGGAAGAGCCAGAGTTACCTCTGCTGCAGAGGATAAGTTAATTACAGTTAACTGCATCTCAGATTGCAGCCCAAATAAATGCTTCACAGAGTTCAAGTAACAGACACATCTCAACATCAACTGTTCAGAAGAGACTGCATGAATCAGGCCTTCATGGTCGAATTGCTGCAAAGAAACCACTACTAAAGGACACCAATAAGAAGAAGAGACTTGCTTGGGCCAAGAAACACGAGCAATGAACATTAGACCGGTGTCCAAATTTGAGTTTTTTGGTTCCAACCGATGTGTCTTTGCAGAGTATGAGGTTCCCACCGTAAAGCATGGAGGAGGAGGTGCGATGGTGTGGGGGTGCTTTGCTGGTGACACTGTCTGTGATTTATTTAGAATTCAAGGCACACTTAACCAGCATGGCTACCACAGCATTCTGCAGCGATACACCATCCCATCTGGTTTGCGCTTAGTGGGACTATCATTAGTTTTTCAACAGGACAATGACCCAAAACACACCTCCAGGCTGTGTAAGGGCTATTTGACCAAGAAGGAGAGTGATGGAGTGCTGCATCAGATGACCTGGCCTCCACAATCACCCGACCTCAACCCAATTGAGATGGTTTGGGATGAGTTGGACCGCAGAGTGAAGGAAAAGCAGCCAACAAGTGCTCAGCATATGTGGGAACTCCTTCGAGACTGTTGGAAAAGCATTCCAGGTGACGCTGGTTGAGAGAATGCCAAGAGTGTGCAAAGCTGTCATCAAGACAAAGGGTGGCTACTTTGAATAATCTAAAATCTAAAATATATTTTGATTTGTTTAACACTTTTTTGGTTACTACATGATTCCATATGTGTTATTTCAT